AGAGAGAGAGAGAGAGAGAGAGATTGCAAATGTCCGAGTGTATGACATGTGACTGGAAGTTGCGACACAAGTATAGTATACGGCGGCTCTTAACGTAACGCAAATGTCCTACTTCAATAGTATAGTGGGGGAACGTTGAAGCTTATTGTTACATAGACAGGTGGAAAGTGAGTACCGTGAAATTACAGTACGTTATTAATTTGCGGTCGTCCGTCAAAGAGACCGATTCTCCTCGGGTACGATTTACGCTTCAGCAATTTAATTCACATTATTCATCCTATGTCGATCAAATTTAGTGTCGTGTACATACAAATGTCTTCATTTTATACATATTTATTAACTAAGGTAAGTTAATGTTCAGTTATATGTAACTAGTTGATCACATTGTGACAAATATATAAATATCAGGGCTGCTTTATTAATTGCTTGCTATTGCTTGCTATTGTCAAAGTGCATGGAGATTACTTGTAATTCAGAGTACCGATAGGATAGTGACATTGTTACAATCCACGCAAAAATGTGTCGTGTATACATATACATATATTATTATTTATATAATATAATATTATTTTAATAATATATTTATATAATACATAGTTAATGAAAGACAATTATATATATTATATATTGAGAAAACTACGTAAGATTGAATGTGCTTATTTACATTATTTGCGCAGTACACGTAGTTATGAGCTTCTTTTCAATAATTATATACATATATAAATCAAAGTCATACAAAGTTAAACGTACATATTCTCTATCCCCTTGTTCTAAATGTTTTGAATAAATATTTATATTTATAAAATCTCTCGATTTAAAAGATATCTTAAGATTTGATCGAAACATGAAAATAATAATAACATAGAAAATAAGTCACGTAATATAAAATTATGACACATGATATATAATTTTTATCTTACACGTCACTTGTTATTTTAAATTTTAAAATATCTTAAAATACTTGTAGCTCTTTATTTATTATCGTCTTTCGCATTATATGAAATTTTGCATTTTACGTTACGATTTCTCTCAGAAATTTTTTCAGTAAAATAATAGATAATTTATATCCAATCCATTTGAAATGGACTTTCATACTTTCTTTGTCTTACAATAATTGAAAGATTAATATAATATTTAATGTATTAAATTATTTTTAATGAAATGCAGCTTTGATAAGAAATTATATTGTTGATAAAGCTGGATAATATAGCTATAATTTCTGTGATTCAATTAAGTTTTCTATTATAAAATGAGTTGAATAAAAACGGAGATCCAAAGTGTCTTGGATTGTATAGCCGATTGTATAACTGTATTGAAAGGATATATTATCCGATTAGTTACGTACTGAATATCTTTGTTAGATAGGTGACGAAATAGGAATCAGGAACGTAATTATTGTCGACACTCGTGATTATTGTCAACGTTATATAAACATTTAATTCATGGGAAAACTATATAAACTCGATGTACATACAATACGGCTTCTGGAGAGAATGTTATTTGCTTGAATTTTATGATCGTCTGTACGATTATTGCGATTACTGCGATAGTAAACGCGACGAGTATTTTTGTTTAATCGAAAATCTTGACGAAGTCAAGATTCTTATTAAATCACATACTTTTTTAATTGAAATTATATTTCGATTTTATTATATATTTCGCGCCGCAGGCGCAAAAAATATATTAAAAGCAAATAGAAAATAATAAAATAATATAAATATTGTTGAGGCTAACAATAAGCAAGATTTCTTAATAATAGAAGAAATACTATTCCGATTTTATCTCGGTAGATATTAAATAAAGAACCGCTAAAGGTAAAATGTATAATTATGCATCTCATTATGAATCACGCGCCGTATATTGTAAAAAAAATTTAATTATATTCTGTTGTTAACTTTAATAATCCATCTTCACCAATTGATCAATAATTTTCTAACGAAACAAATTTTGCTTTATGAAATATTTTTCTCGGAAAAATATAATAATTAAGATTTATACATTGCAATTTTTAATGCAAGACAGATAACTAAGACTATATACGTATATACATACATACTCATATTATATATATATAGATAAAGGCATAGGATAGCTAGGACACTTCCCTTCTAACAATAAGTGCAATCTGGTTCGGTTGCGTTTAGAGATCTATTACATAGGTTTTATAATAGAGTAATACGAGAACGAGATACGCTCGCGATTCCTGATGTGAAGCCAAGTGTAAGAGATGGTTCGCATAAATATTTGCTATCTTGACTTAATAAACGTCTTTGATTCAAGGCGAGTGCGCTTTATATATACTTATACGAGCATAAAAACGATCGAACGGGAGTAAAAGCGAAAACCTTGTACGTTGTTTGATTTTATGATTTTATATGAGCTGGTATATATACTACATATCGGCCGTGAGTTGTCGGACTTTAATGAAAAAAATTTAAGTATAGCTATAGGATATATCACAGTCGAAGAATGACCGTATAAGCTCGCTGTGTTACATGCGCTGTCTTAAAAATTATTATATTATTTGAAATTGAACGTTTGGATCCTCATCTATCTCGTTGTGAAAATAACGATACAAAGAAATGTAAAAATATATGCGGTGTGCTTATGTACATACGTACTTGATTATACAATATATATACTCCACTCGAGAAGTTGCTAATAACCGCAGTTTTTACCATATATCAGATTTACCATTGTATCAAAGTATTTATTCCATATTCTTTTACCATCTATAGTTGTCTCAACGTATATGTGTTTTATAATCTAGAATTAAAAATGTTTATCCTTAATAAACATTTACACTCTTTTACCAAGCGTTTTTACAATCTGAATATCTGAGCACGAAACCTGATAATGACGATGGTCATATAACGACTAAAAGACTACATTTTGCAGCATTCGTGGAAGAGATAAAATCCTTTTCTCGCGTTTCAGAAAGGATATCATCGCGCTTTTTAAGCACACGATAATATTTTATATATGTATATGTATATACGTTAGTATTAGTCGTTTGTTAATCGTTTATCGTCATTCGCGTCTGCATCTAGCAAGTCCTAGTTTAATCATCGCTACATATTATATAGCTACCGCACATATTTCGCTATATATATATACGTCTCTTATTATACGTATATGTAATGTATAATTAAGCTAATGTATACAAAGTCTCAGGTAAGGATCGAATGGAATGATTGTACGGAAAAATAAGTGAACGGAGAGAGAAAGTGGCACCAAGGTCGAGTCGCCGCGCGTAAAGATACATCGCGGGAGTTCAACATTTAATCGAACAGAATTTGCGAAACGGCTTTGCCATTTCCACATATAAAGCAATCGCGAGAGATTTTTTAAATTAAATTACTTGTCATTTTGTCATCTTGTGACGTTCTTCTTTTCAATTAAACAGTTATGGTAAATTATCTTTTATCATTTAAAAATTATATTGTCGACAATAATTGAGAGGCTCTAATAAACGGATTCGAGCTTATTTCGCCGCTATCGCATAAAAGCTGTAAAATATTGAACACGAGAAACAAATGTTTTTCTTCAAACTTTATTATCTTGTTTCTTGCCAGATTCTTATCCTTTTGATCGGGGTTTTACCATTGCACAATTGCCGTTTTGCCGTGAACATGCTTTTCCAAGGTTTTGTAAGAATTCCTAGAGGAGAACGTTAGTTTCTCTGAATTATGTGCAAGATATATAACATATAAACACACACATATATTATATATATATATATATATATATATATATATACATATATGAACATGTACGTATATGCAGTATACCCTGATGCAGTATAGCCAAATCTGTCGAAAACAAATCTTGCTTTAAACTTTGTTGACAAAAGAAGTATACAAATTTAATACAGAATTTATCAGGTGATATGGATAACAATATGGTAGTAAATATACAACAAAATTTGCTGACATAATTTGACAGCCAATTGATGGCAAAATACGAGCAAAATATGGTGGAAAAAATGTAGATATTAGATATTTTAGTACGAGATATGATTGAATAATGTTTTTGCACCGAAAAAGCTAATTAATGAACATAGTATACCTATTTAGAAAGTAATTAGTGTACACTCATGAACATATCGGTTGCGGCACTTTTTTTTAATAGGTTTTGAAACGCTCTAATATTTTGCAAATGCAAACCACGATTGCGCCATGGTGTACTGTCTCTAGACTAAAGATAGTGCACTATCGTAGTTCGCATTTGCAAAATATTAGTATTACCTCTAAAATATATATTATGCATATTAAATATGCATACTAAAAACCTATGAAAAAAAACCGATGTCGCAACCGATATGTCCACGACTGTACAGAGAACAAGCGCGAAGATCTTTATATATAACGATATCTTCAGATTAGAATATTCTCGAAATTAAATGCTTTAATATAAAATATATTAATTTTTATTCATAAAACAATTTATTCATAACAAAATTATTTTTTGTTACTTTAAAATAAAATTAAAAAAGAATAGAAATTTCATTTTTAAAGATTTTTCAATATCAATTACGTTCACAAAATAATTGTCGTCAGACGTACAATGCTACGCAAAGCTTGCTCGGTTTTTGCCGTTACATAGTGCTGCGAAAACCTTGTACGGTTTTTGTTGATAATTTGTTGTCAGATAACGTGCTATGCAAAATGCATGGTTCTTTCCAAATTTGTTGTCAGATAGTGCTAATAAGTTTGTTCGGTGACAAAGTTGCTCTATCTTGAATTTTTAGAAATTATCGATATATTAACGCATAATTGTCCGGACAATTAGTTTGCATGTATACAATATATCGATACATGTGAAATAATATATATTAATATCTTATTAAATTAATTATAAATTACTGAGTTTTAAATTGTAAAATGTATAGTCGTCAAACAGTTGCCATCTATTGCTTAAGCGGTCTGATTACAATTATTAATCTTAAAAAGCCGATTATAGATCAGCGCGATATACGCTGCGGGTACACCGAATACTCTTCGTAATTAAATAATTAATATATGTTTTGTAAATAATATATATGTCTCTCTCTCTCTCTCTCTCTGATTAACGAACGGTTACGAATACATACGTGACGCATGTATTATACATAATTAACGAGAGTCATACAATTTAGCTTTGGTAAATCGGTTCACGAAAAAGACCCAGAACACGATATGATGAGCCGTTTGTGGAAAGCGTTGTCTCGGCGACGCGTAGAAGAGAATGAAGATACCAAGAGCGAACAATTGGCACGAGTCCTCGGTTTATTCGATCTGACCGCACTCGGCGTGGGTGCGACTCTCGGCTTAGGCGTTTACGTCCTTGCTGGAAGCGTGGCTAAAGAAGCGGCTGGCCCTGCCGTTTCCATCTCTTTCCTCATAGCCGCTATTGCGTCTGCTTTCGCGGGTAAAACTAAATATCTCGATCAATTATATGATACCTATATCAAATATATCAAACTCAGTACTTATTTCGTCAAGTTTTCTAAATGAAATCAAACTGCCAATTCTGCCACTTCGCTTATTGGAGAGTTGCGTTGTTAAGTCTTTACAAGATCTGTGACAAAGTGGCTGTGTTCCATTATTCGCCGCGAGAACTAAAAATTTATAGTATACGTAACGTAAACTATAGAGATTTTCAGTACTCGTAATGAATAATGGAATGCAGCCAGTAACGTAATATATTGATGAATCATCAAAGGTCATATTTTGTGAGATCTGAGATATCACACACGAAACACATAAACAGAGGTTTCACATGCATATTCATATTATGTTATATTACATATATTATATCCCTGGTAAAAAGATTTGCTGAAATTTTACTGAAATTATTTAACGTTTTGAACAGTTCTCAGTAAAATTTGTATAATATTTGAAATAAAATTGTAATATATTCTTCATGAATATTTCTATAGCTAACACAATTAGAGTGGTACCCGAGCACATTTAGGTTCCGAATTAATTTTTACAATTTTTCTAACCAAAATTGTATTATCAAAATACTCATTTACTTTTATTTTGGAATCCAATTTAAAAACTTGAAAAATTTCATAATGTTGCGTCTTTTATTCTTTTATTATTATGTAATATTTTATTTACGAAAAATAGAATTTAATCGCGCGGCGATTCTATCTGACGGCGGTGCCGCGCATTGCATGCTTGCGCGAGTTTTCTAATTTCAGCATATTATCAGAAAAATTTCACCAAATTGTCAGAGATTTTTTTAGAAGACTTTTTGAGCAAATTGTAATAAGTTATATCAGACAATTTTTTTTTCATTACTTTGGTTAAAAATCATTTTTATAGTGAAATTTTATAATTTTTAGCGTATTTTTAGAGACTCTTGGAGAAATTGCAACAAACTTTCAAAGAAATTTTCGAAAAAATTTGCGGGAAAATTTTGGTTACCCAATTTTAGCGGTTTTACTACTTTTGCTGAAACAAATCACTTTCACTAAAATTGCAGCAAAATTTTAATTAATTTTCAATAATTTTGTTGAAATGTTACAAAGAAACTTTCGCGAAATTTCAGTCAAAAGAGATTTTTCCAAAGAAATTGTACAATATATATTAATTATATTTAATTGTGTTATTACTTGTATAGGTATGTGCTATGCGGAATTCGCGTCGAGATTGCCGAAAGCCGGATCAGCATACGTTTATAGTTACGTAACGGTAGGCGAGTTCATCGCCTTCGTCATAGGATGGAACTTAATTCTGGAATATGTAATTGGTGAGAAATGTAATTGGCGAAAAATCAATGGAATGCGCACGTGTAGAAGGCGAGGAAGCCTATATAAGTCCAGTCAAATTTATGATAGCATATATATTGTATAACTAACAATATAAGTAGGTAACGATCATTGGAATGTTATTTTACGATGCGGTTTTACAGGTACAGCGAGCGTCGCACGAGGTCTCAGCAATTATATCGATGCGTTGATAGGAAACGTCATGGGTAACGCTCTACGCTCTCTTATGCCTATCGACATTTCTTTCCTGTCAGAGTATCCTGATTTTTTCGCTTTTGGGATGGTCATGTTACTAGTGGTGCTATTGTGCATCGGAGTGAAAGAATCGTCCATCTTAAACAACGTTTTCACCGTTATAAATTTGATAACTATTACGATCGTCATCGTTGCAGGGTCAATAAAAGGTACGTAAGCCACATCGAGCGATAAGTTAAGTCGTCGCGCATACTATCGAGATTATTAGAGATCTCTGGCTGAAGAAATAATGATTCGCGCGCGCAAGACGAGCAAATTTTCAAATTTTAAAAGATTAAAGGATTAAAAATGTATAAACTTGGCTTTTAAAGAATTAATTTAAATTTTATTGTTAAGTGTTAAGATTGATATATAGAGTTGCACAACAGTACAGTCTCTTGGAGATGATCAATTCTCTTAACTGAATGTTTTCAGCGGATCCATCAAATTGGTCGATCGCACGCGAGGATATTCCAGACTCCGTGAAAAACGGAGGAGTCGGAGGATTCATGCCGTTTGGCATAAGCGGAGTGATGATCGGAGCGGCCAAATGCTTTTACGGATTTGTGGGATTCGACGCGGTCGCTACCACTGGCGAGGAAGCCAAGAATCCTCAACGTCACATTCCTATTGCGATTGTGTTATCTCTTATTGTTATATTTATAGCGTACTTTGGTGTTTCAACAGTCCTGACGATGATGTTGCCTTATTACGATCAGGTGAGAGAGAGAGAGAGAGAGAGAGAGAGAGAGAGAGAAAGAGAGCGCGCGCGCGCGATTCACTCCCTTTTACTCTTTGCAGTAAAGCATAACTTTGAATGCAATTAAACTTTCTCGACGATCAACTCAATCCGCGTTCGAGATATGCTAAATTATATATAGAACTAGAATTTCAAGTTCAATTTCCAAATCATCTTTAGAGCGCAGACGCGCCGTTTCCACACGCGTTTGACGAGATTGGCTGGCCCATCGTTAAATGGATCGTCAACATAGGCGCGATATTCGCGCTCTGCACCAGCCTTTTGGGCGCTATGTTTCCCTTACCGCGCGTATTATACGCTATGGCTAGCGACGGCATAATATTCAAAATTCTCTCCAAGGTGCATCCCAAGACAATGACGCCTGTTTACGGCACGGTGCTTTCTGGTTTACTTATTGGTACGTAATCTGCTGATCAGCGAGTTTCGGGCGTGTGTAGCAATTAAAATAATTAAATAAAACACACACGCGCGCACTATAAGAATATGATGGAGATGCGCAATGTCTCTCGTAATTAATTTACAAAACTTATCAACATTTACATTAATCTGCATTTTAACAAACATTAAATTACTTTGTTTTAGGTCTTATGACACTTATCTTCAATTTACACCAATTGATTGATATGATGTCTATCGGAACTTTACTTGCGTATACGATAGTAGCGATATGTGTCTTGATATTGAGGTAATGTCATGGATTAATTTATAAACGTCAAGTAAAATTAATAAAATTAATTATTATTAGCTATACATATTTTTATCATATGCATGCAGATATCAAAAAGAAGAAAATTCTAGCAGCATTTCTGCAATACCAACGAGTAATTATCAATTTACACTTGGAAATATATTTAAGGAATTGTTCAATTTGCAAAATCAAAAAGAACCAACGGAGCTTTCTAGTAAAATTGCAAATGTCGGCATTGCCTTACTCTGTGAGTTTACGCAAATTAATATATATAAATATATATATATATATATATATATATATATATATATAAGATTGAAAATAATATTATATCTGTGGTAAATGCGATATATCATAAATGGATATACATGGATATGCCGCAATTATAAGCTAGGCGATTAGTGATCGATTCATATAGAATTCATTACTTAATTTGTCTGCAAAGTTTATTCGTTTCAGGTATCGTTATATGTATCATCACATTTCTGATTAGTAACATGGGCGCGCACTTGCTCGCAGGAAATATGGTAATATCTGTGATACTAGGTGTGCTCGTAATTGTTCTTCTGTTGAATTTAGTAGCGGTTGGTAGACAACCGGTGCAGAGGACCGACTTATCTTTCAAGGTAAGAGAGTCGTATTTGCACTATAATATTAATAATTAAGTGCCAATTCGATTGTCTAATATTGTATTATGATGTAACATAGTGACATTAGTGACGCGACGTTACGAAAAATCTGATTTATCAGTTTAACATATATTTCTGTAATGCCCTGCTATAGGTACCTCTTGTTCCGCTTATTCCGTGTCTCAGTATTTTTATAAACATATATTTAATGTTCCAACTAGACGTTTTTACATGGATCAGATTTGCCACTTGGTTGCTAATTGGTAAGTCCTATTGTAAAAGCAAAGGGCGTGCAAAATGAATTATGCGATTTGAAGACAAAACCAATCTAAAGGCTTACATCAAATATATTATATCTTAATTATTTATTTATTTATAGGCTTCTGCATTTATGGATTTTACGGAATTGTCAATAGTGAGCAAGGGAAAAGAGATAAAGCAGAAAACGAAAAGTTACAATGCAAATACGTAGAGAAATTTAGGATAGTAACATCATTTTGATAACAATTTTTTTTTTACAAATAAAAGAGAAAAGTTCTTCGTTTACACGTAAATATTCGTTTTACAATCAGTACTCTCGTAACGTAAGAACAGCAAGAATAAAACAACCATTTTTGTATCCCATCGACTTCATCTGCACTTCATTCAATATACTTGTTTAATTAAATTTTTTTTCTAATTTCTAATTGAAAAGTATTTTTTTTAAATAAATTTTAATTTTAATAATACATTATACATATACGTATGCGCATGCGCGCGGCTTTAATATTATAAATCGACACACACGAGGAGACAATTACAGTCACAAATACAATCTTTTATTTCAGTTATCTTTTTAAATTCTGAATTGATCGAGTTCTTTTAATTGAACATTCTTTTACACTTTTTCGGTTATATTTAGTACATTTGCACGTATCAATGTATCGATAATTGCAACGACAATGATATAATAATATGTAGTAATAGCGAGAATAATAATAACGGTGTTGCATAACAAAAGCAGATTATTTATTGTGTGATATTTACTAATAAAATAAAAATAGCCTGCACTCTTTACATAAAATACTTTAAACGTATTCAATGATGTTTTTACTACATTGGTAATGTATGTATACGCAGTTAATAATTCTCCTACAGTCTTATCAAAATGTTTCACTATATACTTTTTATCTCTACAATTTAAAGAAATATTAGCTATATGTCAAAAAAAAAATTAATAACTATTGTCATAAGGAAATTTTATTAGTAACATTGAGCGCGCATTGGTTATAATGTTGTATTTGTAATATGTATTTATAATGAACTTTTGTGGTTCATAAAAATTAGCGAAAATAGCTGTCAAGTATCATCCAATAAATATTATTACGCTCATTGGAATGTTTACACAATCACAGAAAAGTACTTAATAATTTTATTCTATATTTGTAAGCATTTTGTGCTAGTCATAGACGTTATATTTATTCGTTTATCTTAGACATACTAGAAAAATAACAAAACATTCCCATAATAATTTTATTATTTTATCGTTTATGTAAGTATATCTTGAAGCAAATTGTAACTGAAAAAATAATTTAAATAATGTATATATACTTTATTTTATAAACTATTTAACTGTATCATTCCAATTTTTTAATATCCATTATATTGATTGTGAGGAAGAAGTTTCGAGTGTGACGGTGTCAAGTAATTTTTATACGTATTATTATGATTATATTGACTACAAATTAGCAATAATGTATTAGCATAGACGCTACTGTGTGTTCATATATGTATACGCATACAATATTACACTTTATAAGGCAATCACAAAATTGTTAATTATTTCATATTACCATAGCCTGTGTTTTATATAGGCAATTGCAATAAAGATTATTTTGTTTTATTTACAAGTCCTCCAAGGCTTACATTTTGCCAGTTTGCCTGTTGGAAATAAATCCAAAGTTTAGTTTTTTTTTTTTTTTTTTCATTTAATAACATACTGGATTATGAGAGAATATTGAAAAAATAAGAAAATTCGGCATTTTATGCCGAATTAATGTAACTGCGTTCAAGTGATGCAATTATTTTAAGCATGAGAAGCAACTTTCATTATTACGTGTACTTTGAAAAAAAGATGTTATTTACTATACTTGCTACATATCTTAAAAGTTACTAAAAACAAATTCTAGTTTCAATTTCGTTACGATTTCATAGGCGATTATATAGGTCATATTCTCTGAGCTATAAATCAATTTTCAACTTGCTGAAATTTGTTCTCGCTACTTACTCCTATACCGGTCACCCATCCGGTTCCAGCTGGATTCTCATGAGTAATACCAATTCTTCGACAAATAATGCCGGCTCCCGAAGTTGCCCAAACTTGTCCCTGTTCTCTCGAAACGGATACGTGTCTGAATCCTTGTTTAGCGTTTGCGACTGATACATCTATGAATAATTAACGAGATTTAATTTTAGATTGTGTGTGTGGGGAGGACGAGGAAGAGAGGAGAGGGGGGAGAGAGGGAGGTGGGAGGGAGGGAAGGGGAGGGAGAGAGAGAGAGAGAGAGAGAGAGAGAGAGAGAGAGAGAGAGAGAGAGAGAGAGAGAGAGAGAGAAGACTGAGAAAGATTAGGTATTAGAAATGCATTAGAAACATTTTGATTTTGCAACAGAAAATCGTAATATGAAATAGTAATAATATGCAGTGACAAACGAAAACAATGTGAGCCCGATATGAAGTACACACCTGAACAATCAAAGATTATCATTGATAGGCCTGACATTTGTAATAAATATGCATGTAATTTTTTTAATACCTGGAATGATTGAGTCTCACAAATATTAAGATCCATATCTTGGACTAAATTTGTATAAATTGTATTTGCTTAAATAGCTCAGTTCTGCATTGTGGACAGAAGAAAGGAGAGAAGGCAGGAAGGAAAGAGGGAGGAAGGGAAGAGGGAATGAGTAAGTAAATAAACGAATAAGGGAGTAAATAAAGCAGCGAACGAGCCATTTTAATTTACCTATATGAATAGGATCATTTGGCATAGCAGGTAATGTTTGCCAATGAGTTCCCTCGGGGAAAACATTAGATTGTACTTCTCGGCGTACTGACAGTCGACCCATCGTATCTAAGGCCCACACAACATCATGTCCTACTGAAATTTGTTTCAGCTGAGCACCTGAAGGTGGTTCGACATTTTGCCATTGAATACCTAAATTTTTTACAAAATATCGATTATTTCAAGGTTTTTATGAACAGGTTAATTTATTACGTAATGAACATATTGTAATTATAGCTATTATGTACGTTGTAATAATATTTAGTAAATTTCGTACCAGTTGGTTTTGTAACACTGATGCCTAATCTCCAACAAGAGGAGCCATTCTTTCCAATAGCCCAGACTTGTCCACATGGACCGCATGATATGCTAATTAATGGCTGATCACTTGGTATGTGTTCCCATGATACTCCCTATTTAACACGTGAAATATGTTGAACAGATCGTTTGTGCAAAACGTATCGCTATACACATATTATAATAGCTACTTTGTTCATAAAAAAATTAATAAATATATGCACATATATATAAATAATTTTTTTTGCGCGCACACACATTGTATGTAAAAAAAAGCAGATACAATTTCAAATAATCGTACCATTGGACAAGATTCTGAGACACCTCGTCTGAACAAAGCTTCACCATTTGCAGCAACTGCCCAAACATGAATTGGACTATCCGTGCCAGGTTTTTCAGTCGCCTATTATAATTAATAAACAAAAGCGATTACACAAGACAAAATATATTCCTTCCAAAATGATAAAGATAATGGTAAAAATATAATCCATACATATAAAGAGACATCAATGAGTTTAGTATTTCCCAATTCCTGCCAAGGTCCACTGGTCATTAGTTGACAGCTTCTAAACCATCGTCTTCGTCGAACGTAATCGGTAAATTGTTTCTTGCCGTGATATTGTGACGGGAAGTCAGTAGCGTATTGCCATCCATCTCGATCAACGCCACCGGGTGTGTGAAAGTCGACGATCCAATCTGATACCTTCCAAATTTTCAAAAAATAATAGATTTTATCTCAATCCGAAGAATACAATAATAAATTTCTTAATAATTTTCCATCAAATAATTCAAACAAATCGAGAGTTTTGACTCTTGATTTTCCCTTGAAAAGAGGATCTTTTTTGCGTTCACTTACCCAGTGCCAATGCATTGACAATAATTTCGTATGCTCTCGCGTACATTTATGCCGTCCAGTTGCGTCGCTCCACATATAACGGTCCGTTGGAAGTCCATGCGCGGTATATCCAGTAACTGGATTCCAACGTTGATTTTCATATACATAATATTTGTGGGTGTCTATCATCGTATTTATTCCGGTGCTACTGCTAGTTCCTAAGCCTATGTAATCCTCTTTCATATTAACAATTTGCACTCTCATTAGAGATATGTAGATATGATTGATTCGATAAATTAAATATTATCCTGCTCAAAATTTTGCAATAATTGTAATAATTCTCTTTTCTTCTTCGTTATCTTTTGTCTTACAAAAAAAGAAAAACATAATACGTACAGATTTATTAATATAAAAATCAACATTAAATACCTTTGAGAAACGCGCCTCCCCAACCACCTGTGTATACCCAAGCAGTACTGTCGTAACCGATACCCCAAGTAACACCTACGGAACATGTCTCAACTTTTTTCAAATGTCCACCAATTTGTCTCCAAAACATTGCGCTAGGTTCGATGATGACCTGTATAAAATATAAATTTATTTTATAATTTCGAGGATGACCTATATATCACGAGATAAGCATGGATAAGAAATCACTCGAAATATTTCACTTACAGATGTAGATTTATATGTGATACTACATAAAGTTAGCAATCCCTTGATACGTAAATGTGTAATACTGGTTGGAGATATTCGGTGACTATAAAAAGTATATTCGCTATCATTAATATAAATTCTATAACCGCGTTCTTCGCAAACAATGTATAACGTAAAGTCACAGCCTGCTTTCAATGGACTACCTCCATTTCTTTCCTCATCTCCCCATTGACTATTTTGATATGTATTCCGTACAATGATATTTTCTCTGAGTCTTGGATTAAAATGCAAAGCAACGTCATGACTGTCTGTCACAGTCTTTTGTTTTACAAATGTGGTAGTGTAACAGACGAGATTGAAAGACAATCTAAAACAAATAGCTAAATTAATACCGTGCACGAGTCTCTCTCTCTCTCTCTCTCTCTCTCTCTCTCTCTCTCGCTCGCTCGCTAAAATTGGACAAGAGACAGCTGTTAAATTTGTCTGATTTACCTGTCGGCATCATCATGAACGCATACTGTAATTCTTAGAGTACTACCGTATCCAAAACCATTTTGTAATATGCTTTCAAACGGTAAATCTTTACCAGTAACATCCATTTCTTGTACGTATCCATTTTCAAATAACTGACATTCCTACACAATAAAATATAATATATAAATGCATAACAAGACTGAAGTTAATAATAGGATTCTTTGCGATTAGCATATATAATATAAGATCTGATTTACCTCCGCAATTGCAGGATCGAATACATATATGTCACCTAACGCAGTTGTGATCCAAATGGAATTCGGACCAGGTCTACCACATACATTATTTATCTGGCAAGATACTAAAAAAATAAAACAAAAATATCTTTATAGATCGCCCTTTCTATGTACCTCTAATACTAATCTGGATTAATTTGTTCTTATACATGTCCTTACCTAAAGTTAAATGCGCCAACCAGTCTTCCATTTCCGTATCACTCGCAAATTGTAATCTAATTATTTTTGAACGACTTAATTTAGGAGTATGAACTGCTATCCTTGGACTACCTGGCTCACTACAGCAAACGACACATGTAATTTCCGAAACAGGAAATTGTATCTGCAATATTATTATTATTACATTACAATAATTAATTAACATTTAGAATCGCGCGTTGCAAACTTAGAAATATTTTCCGTTTCAATAATCAACATACTATGCTTGTTACGCCATCGGAATTTAATATTATTAAAGTGCCAGAATCTAATGATCCAGTATCGCTACTTATCCATTCCAGTTCAATCTTGCAATCTTCATATAGACTGCCATTTTTAATTTTACATTTACCATCACCACTCTTCACCCAAGATGATCTATAACGAATATAATAGTCAAATTTAAGAGTGCGTTTATGTTGGAGCAGTGATAAAAGCTATACGAGCAGCGATAAAAACGTCGATAAAAGCTAATCTAATCTATCTTTCTTTGATTCGTTTATAGTCACGTTTCCACAAATGAGTGATTCAAAAATACGAATTAGTACTGTTATTTTCATACTGCAAAATATGTTGAAAAATGCCTGCGTAAATAATCTGCACATTTCTATTAATGTCAAATAATATCAATTTGAGGAGTTTCTTATCATCTACGCTGCAATGTCACTTCAAGTCATTGTAGGGCAGATGATGAAACTCCTCAAATTTGCATTGCGAATGACGATGGAGTCTTAATAAATTCATTTAAGATTTTTAATTGTACTTTGTCCATTTCAGTAGTAACTTTTCAACGTCCATGTTTTCATAATCAATGACAGCGTAGAACTTGAAATTTTCTCTCTTCTTTTGACTGGTCTTATCACTGGCAATCAACTACTAAGCTCTAGCTCTGTGTGATGCTTCAATATATAAGCAGTGCGCAAAGCTAGACTCTTAGTGAATCCGCGATAAGATTATCAAGAAGGAAAAATTCAGATTTCTACGCTCTCCCATCGACTATATAAAGCATGGACGTTGAAAAATTAATTAGTAAAATACAATATACAGACCAAAAATAAACTTTCCATCGTCATTCACATGTATTAAAAAAATTTTTGCGGATACTTTTTCAAGTCAATGTACTATAGTGATGAAACTTATGGTATGATATTAATAGAATGTGCAGAATATTAACATTAAGCAAATATTTTCCAACATGATTAGTCATTTTGAAATATTTCAAGATGATACTGATTCGTCTTCTGAATCATTTATTTTTGTAAACGTGACAGTTACAACTATACTATCATCGTAGCTTCATCATAAGCATGTCAAAGAAAAATAGATTTGATTAACTTCTATCACTGCTCCAACATAAACGCACCCTAATATACATATAAATCAATCCAATGGTTTTCGCATTGATCCGTTAATATCGTTTGCTACTCTTATCGTTTATCAAGATTCTCCAAGATAAACCCTTAGAGAAACGTTTTCTAAAACTATATATCTTATCAATATCTTTTACTTACTTTTCAACTGCTTTTTCATACACTGTCGACGAATCAAATGACATTTTCTTTAATCTCGCTTTTAATTCATTTAAAATATTTATCCTCCACAATTCTCCAATTTCCCCTTGTGTTACACCGTTGCCATCAGCAATCCTATCCAATAAAAAACATTAAAAATTTAGTTTTGGCACAATTTTAAATTTCAAAAAAATTCCAACGTTAATTATATTATATCATATATATAAGAGTATACAAGAATCTTTCTTTGACGTTGTTCAAATGAAATTTCGACATTTTACCATTTGGGTGGATTTGTTGGGTCGACAAAGCATGCTCCAGCTTCCACTTTATACCATAACACGTCACATTCGGCCCAATATATTATCCCTGCGCTTTCATCTTCGCCGTATACTCCAGAGTCTCCAGTTAAATCTGGGTCAAATACACTTCCATCCGTTTCTGGATGTGCCTCAACTCCTACCATGGAACCGACAGAATGAACAGGACTCCAAGCAGCAGGATTAATCTATTAGGATAGATAATTGGGATCATCATGAAGGATCAATCTTCTTTTTCTTTTACATTACATTAATTTCAATTATGAAATATCTTTTAATTAAAAAAAAAAAAAAAAAAAAAAAAACATTTTAACCTTGACGGTACTGCCCATTCCTTTTCCCGAAACAATTATCGATTCTCCACTTTTTGCTAAAGATTCATTAGATATAGTTATACTAGCAACACTCGCTTCGTTCAAATCACTTGTGTCTACAGAATTTGTAGATCTGTAACGTGGAACAGTTACATTTACTAATTGTTATATTACCATGTTTCAGTTTATTGTTATTTTTATAAACGTAAAAGTGAACGCAAATGTCTTACCTCTTTCTCTCTTCTAGATATATATCTTGAAAAGATGTTTGTTGACTATTCTTTGCAGATACGATGTCAGCGCCAGTACGTTGCCACAATTTCAAAGACGTGGGCGTTGGCGCCGAACGTGATTGCTCTTCCCACTCTCTAATTAACATTGTACCTTCACCAGTACTATGAGGACGATTCTACACGAAGAATAGTAAAGATAAAAGAAAAACGCATTCGCAATTCAATTAAATCAATCTCATTCAATTCACCAAACTTAATTATTTCATTACGTAAGAATTTTGAGTGTCAAATGATAAACAGCATTAATATTCCTACCAAGGAACTCCAGCTCTGATGACGTTGCTGTTGCGGTGTACCGCAAGTACTGTGTCTGTTACTAGATGACAAACTAGCGTTGCTACTTGCTCTACTTAATTGCAGTGGTGCGTTTATTAATTTCCATCGTTTCCCCGTCAATTCAGAGCGTGTGATACCAGTACGGTAATACAAACATCGATCGTCATAGCCAATAGCCCATACCTTTGTAATACGCAAACGTAAACTTAGCAATAAAAGCATATACACGCACACGCACGCGCACACACACACACACACGCACACGCACGACACACACACACACACACACACACACACACACACACACACACACACACACACACACACACACACACACACACACACACTATTTGGTATACAATTTTGTATAAGTGAAAAATTAATTAACATCATACTTGATCATTTGGAGCAACAGATATTAATGCCATTTTGCTTAACATTTCAACCCAACCGGTTCCAGTGGCCAATTGTTCGCAAACACCACTTATTTCGCCTTGAATACCTTTTCGAAACCACACTCCGCCGTCATGCGTTACAGCCCACACAGCATCAGTACCAACACTAACTTGTACCAATCTCAAGTCTTTCTGTGGCGGCTCCACTTCTGACCAATCTTCACCTTTAATACATACGATTATCAAAGTACTAGAATATCTCAATGTAACTCTCCTGAATGAGAGTGTATCCTTTGTGTTCATTATTTACCCATTGGATTGTCTCTCGTCACGCCTGTACGAACTAATGCTTTGCCTATCATAAGTACAGCCCAAACAAGACCGGTTACTCCAACACTAATTTGACATACTTCATAGCCGCTTGTCAATTTGATAGAGCTCCATCTTTGTCCTTCAGGACAAGTTGTACTTGTTCCAACACGGAACATGATCTATAAAAATAGGTGTTGACTTTTAAATATTTAAAAATCTTAAAAATTATATAATCTTTAGAAAAGCTGCGATAAAAGTTATACCCTTCCGTGAGCCGTTACCGCCCAGACTACTAAACTACCAGAACTACTTCCGGGCATTTGATTTCCTCCCACTGCTATATCAATAAAAGGTTCCTGAAAATATATGTTATTATGCATGTGTTATTATATATATGTACACACACACCCACACACACACACACACACACACACGCGCGCGCGCGCGCACATAAATTTGATTGCGTTATATTCAAGTTGAGTTTTTAGTAAAAAAAAAAAATTTATATATATACATAGCATTTCATTACCTTTGTTGGATCTTTGTGCAGAGGTGCAATAGCGCACCATGAATTCATAGCACTGTATCTTCGATAACGAACCCATTTGCGTCTTCTTACACAAGATTTCCACTGCTTTTTTGTAGTATACGTAGCTGGAAAGTCAATTGCGTATGTCCATCCCTATTAAAACATCAGATTCTCTGTGATCATAAGATTTTCTTTGGTCGTGGACACAACTGTTAACAAATCTATACATAAACAAAATCTTATGAAAAATGTAACACTCTTGCAAAAAGCACAAAAATATATCTAGTATAATTTTACATAGTCATCAGAAAAAACAACACAGTAAAAAATAAGTTTTTTCAAAGATATTTCAGAATTGCAATTCAAGTTTACAAATAGCAAAAAATTATCAAAATTACTCGCTTTTGAAAATGACAATTACATATACGTTCATTTTATACAATTGATATATAACATACTAAATGCATTAAAAAAATACATCTAAAATAAAACAGAAAAAGAAAAATAATGGGATATTAATAGTACTAGAAATTTTATAATTAGAAAAATATTTACATCATGATCTAACGGTTGACCATCTAATGTTGTTTCTATTTGCCAATCACCTTCCCACTGCCATGCCATTGATGGCAATTTCACTTTGTCTCTACTACGATCAACCGTACCATCTTGATTGGAGAAATTATATCTGTCAGTTGGAAGCAGTCTTCCAGAAAAACCCTCCAAAGGCAACCATCGCTAAAGTTTATTATTATTATTAATATAAATGGAATAGTATTATTTAATTGTAAAGTTACCAAGCGATATGTTTTAGATGCAGTACCTCATTTTCATAAGTTTCTTCTTTGATTCTAATTGGTACATCTAAGCCGTGAACGTGAACGTAAACTTGACGATCACCACCAATGGCCCACATAAAATGTGGTACAGCTGACAATTGTTTAAATTCAAGTCCTAAATACATAAATTCACGCCACATATTTCCCGACGTCGACAATCCAAATACACGCCCTTCATTGTTAATAGCATACAGATACGAATTTGGCATTTTAAATCCGATATGTACCTTCACACGTTCAGATCTGTAAACAAAAATTGTATCGCAATCCGTCTTTTTATTTTTGTAGAGATTAGTTCCGGAAAACACATACCAATCCTTACTCTTTAACGGCTATTTTACAAAGGATACTCATTACACCACCGATTACATATGTCGGAAAAGAACGTAGTTTTATGTTACTGCATGCTCACGTACAGACATCTGACAAGACTGTTCTTCAGAAATGACATATACGTACATATATCTTGCAAAATCTTCTCTTCAACCGTAGGTATATCGTATTCAAATACGTTCGTTAATAAATCTCTTATGTCAGCATCTTATAAGAGTATCAAGAGAATCAGTGTCAAGAGAAAACGAAACTTTTAAAATTATTGGTACTTGTTGACATTCATCTCAGACATTTTCTTCATAAGGCATTTCCAAATAAATATTAAATGTCAGAATCGTCAGATTAGCGAGGAATGTTAAATACTACACCGACTACAGAGCTCTGTGACAGATTTGACAGAAGATCTACACCGATCTACACTGTCTACACTGGAGTCAGGTTAGGTTCCGGCCCTAAAGGCGGGAGCACAGACTTTTGCATAAAATGCTGCATAAAGGCGGGAGCACAGGAGCAAAGGCATAATCAGAGAGAAGCAGAGAGCTTCTCTCTGGCATAAGAGAATCAACCAATCATAGTATGAAATAAAGGACTCTGATTGGTTGATTTTCTTATGCTTTATGTCTTATACGTTATGCAGCGTTATGCAAAAGCTATGTGAGCTGTATTTCGGTCCTAAGGGTGCGTTCCCACTGAGCGCGTCACGCGCGCGTTATCCGAATTGACCAATCAAAACATCCCATTTTATTGCGTAATTTGCCGCGCGATCCTGGATTTCATACAAAAAAAGATTATTTTATCTCTAGAATGTCGAGTAATCTAATCGATGCGTCGCGCAAAATGTTGCGCGGGAAATGATGCAATAAAATAAGATATTTTGGTCGATTAATCGTGGCACGACGCGTGACGCGCTCAGTGGGAACGCACTCTAAGGCGGCTAGACCAATGAGAATATACGATATATAATATAAATGTAACTTTAAATATATGTATAAATGTGTGTATGTGTGGAGTTATTTTAAATCATAATTTTTCTTTTTTTAATTTTTTATCTTTTAAATTATACAAAAACCGAAGATAAGATCTTCATAAAAAATCATTATATATACATATGTATATATCGTAACAATATCATCTGAAAAATTTCAGTCCAATCGGAGGGAGTTACCATCCGTGTTTGATTATCTAAAGAGAACTGGTAACAGTAGAAAAAAAAATTTTAATTTTGCGGCAATATATATGATGTTAAGAGCATTATAAGTATTCGTACTTATTTATAAAGCATTTGTATAATAAGAATATCATTTTAATAATGTATTATTCAAATATACTTACATATTTATATATTAATAATCGCAAATTTATGTCAATAGTCGCGATAACATCGACACTGATCTGCAATTCTTCCGGGCCCTTTGGACTCTTTGGGTGCAGACTGCACTGACCGGCACGAAAATTTATCCAGTGTTGACGGTCTTTTAATTGTATATATATCTTGTCAGTAGAAATACAAACAATTAAAAATAATTTTTCCAATTGGCGATTTCGTTCGGTCAAGTTTACCCTGGGATACGAATCCCAGATCGAGGTTGCGTCTGCGTACACTACGTCGCGGATGTTAGTCATGTTTTTAAAAGTGGGTCGCGATTGTCGCGATTCACGAATCGTGATCAACACACACGTTTACGGTTTATCGCTGTGGTGGTCAGCATTTGTCGAATAATTGACAGTAGTCAAGTGTTTTTGCGTAATTTTGCGATCATTATTGACATTATTGCTGATGGAATGGGACCTCTACCCGTAGTCACTGGAATATCACCCAAGGAAGGTCCACCCGGCACTCGGGTGATAGTGCGTGGCGAATTTTTAGGGAATAAATCTCAGGATCTTATAGGTTAGTGCCACTCGCTAGCTAAAGTTTTTAAAAGAAATCTCTAAATCTACATGATATTAGAAAAGAATCATTCACATATAAGTACATAAAACATTGTGTAATGTGCAGAATAACTTTATTATGTATTGTACGCCAATCGTGGCACTATCAATCCACATTTCATACATTGATACATATATGTATTTCGTTTAGGCTACTTAGGTTAAGTTAAAAGAGTTAAATATCGTAATTTTTTACATCTCTCTTGCACTTTATTGATTATGCAGGATTGACTATATGTGGATGTGACTGTCTGCTTTCGGCCGAATGGAAGTCATCGAACAAAATTATAGCGAGATCAGGGCCTTGCAAAGGTCGCGGAGATATAATAGTGACAACTCGAAGCGGAGGACAGGGGACCTCGACCGTACAGTTTCGGGGTTATCACGAGACTATAGGCCCGATGAAGGAGTCGGCAGTATGGGTGGAGGAAGCACCTATGCAGAGTTTGGGCTGGGGTAGAAGGGCTTTGTCACCTACAAACTATCAACAGGAAGATCCTTTGGGGCTTAGTGTAGAAGGCAATGAGTAAATATTTAAATTTTGACTGCAATAAGCTGTTGACATGTTTTGCAATAATTAATTACATCTCTCATCTTGAAGCAAAAAATTTCCTGAGGATGAGCTGATTGAACTTTTTGGAGATGGAAGTGGAGATCTTACGAGTGAAAAATTTCATCCGGGATGGTTTTTACTTCAGCATCATCATGCCACCACTTTGGAAGATTTAAAGGCTGGTTTAGCTTATCTTCGAAGAAAAGTCAACTCTCAAAAGGAAGGACAATTGTCATTTTTAAAGGTGAATATTTAATATGACATAAGAAAGAAACTTTTATTGGGTCAAAACAGGTCTTCTTTTGGTGCATAATAATATTTCTATATAAATTTAAAAATAATATTCCTTTTTTCCACATGCCGATTTGTCGGATTTAAAACACGATCCTAAATTGAAATACAAATAATCAGTCACAAATTGATCATCAGTTTTAATAATAATGATGCTAATGCAAGCATGTTGAGACAAGGTAAAGAATTTATTGCGAAAAATATCACCTCAGCTATGGACTTGAAACTTGGTCCTTCCTACTTTCCGCGTCTCTTATCAATTTGACAACCAAGACATATGCGTTTTAAGTTTGACAGCCAAATCGATGCACAGTATAGAACTGAAAAAAAGTTTGTATACATATATAAATTTACATGAAAATATTACATACCAAGACCCTGCTTTGATCGAAGAAAGGCTTCTTTCTTTTTTATAGTAGTTAACTACTCACTTATCGATCCAATTTCCATTGCTATTGTGAATATTGAAGTTGAACATCAGTTGAAGCAAGAAAATTTATTTCTCTATGTGTAAAATCTTTGTCATTGTGTGCCAAATTAAAATTCTTAATTGAAACAGGCCAATGTAGGAGCGGTAATGGAGCAACTTGACACGATAATGTTGTTAAAAGATCAATTTGAAGCAGATATGAAGAGCTACGGTAGCGATCCTACGGAGAAATTGGAAACAGCTATCAGGCAGTCTATGTCTGAGGCTAATAAATTATTTGATGATGTATTAGCGAGGAGGGATAGAGCTGATGCCACGCGTAACGCGTTGGCCGTTATGCAACGTTACAAATTTCTCTTTTGTATGCCGATAAACATCGAGAGAAATATCAAGCGTGGCAATTATGATCTCGTAATTAACGACTATGCCAGAGTTAAGAATCTATTTAAGAATACAGAGATAGATGTCTTTAAAAAGGTACTGGAGGAAATCGACGGTAGAATCAATAATTTTAAAGTGTTGTTACGGAAAAAATTACAAGAGATGCCATTTAGCTTAGAGGAGCGTAAGAAGATTATTAGAAATCTCGTCAACCTTGATGCCGAAGGTGACCCAGCGTGGGATGCAATAGGTGTGTATGTGTGCGTGCGTGCGTGCGTGCGTGCGTACGTGCGTTTATCTAAATTTAAAATGAATGTAAAGCTTCATTTATATTGTCACTTTCGTGTTTAGAACAAAATGAGCAAATTCACTTCAAGCAAGTCACTTTTATGTTTATCATGATCGTGTAACGTTTATCTTCATTGTGTGTTTTAGAGAAGATAATTTTCAATCTTGTATTCCAGTTTCACATGCAAATTACTTAGAGAAAAGCGTTGCCAATGCTGTATATGAGCATTCGGACAGAGTTAAAATGAATTGTGAAGATGCGAGCAAAATGCCCAAGTCCACATCGATAAATATCAAGCATTTACGCTCGCAGAAGAATAATGGAGATAGTTCACCACCGCAAATCTCGTGCGTCGAAGTAATTTGCGATATTGTAGTCGAACAGTTGCCAGACCTCTGGAGATTGGGACAGAGTTATTTCACGGGGCAGTTACATGTGATGGTAGACGTGGAAAAGCAAAGTCATTTTAAAGTGTGTATTCTATGTGTTTTTAAAACTTACCTTTTTTACTTTTTTTTAGCAATGACAAGCACACAAATATTGCTTCATTTCAATTTTTAGCTTGTAAATGTCACTTCATCTAAAATGTGTATATATTATTGTCTATGATAGAATTTAGTTTTATCGAATATGCAACATGCCATGGGAGCTATGAAGAATATGTGCAGTCATGATGCAGAGGCAAGGTGGCTTTTACATATCTTACGTTGCGTTCGACAAATGTATGCATCTTTGATACATCTGGATTTACCTAGCGAAGCTCTCGATATTTTTGGATCGTTTATATTGGATTTAAGGTAAAACTTTAGCTACAAGACTACCGTCAATTACATACATCTTTCTCATATATATATATATATATATATATGTATAAAATACACATATATAGCTATATACAGATGGAGCAGTTAAAGTGTAACAAGTTATTATCTCGTGAAAGTATGCATGACAAAATGACAAAAAATTTCAAACAAAAGTTGTATAAAGGAGAAAATAATGATAAAATTAATTTTTGAAAAAATTTTTTATATAGAATTTTTCATATCAAAAATCATTTTTTTATGAAACTATGATTTTTTTATATTATCTGATTTTTCTTGTTATTCTGCATAAAAGTATCAGAGTTATCAAAAAATCAATAGTTTGAGATATTTTATACTTTATTTCGGCATATTTTGACATAATATATAAAATATAAAATATTTTGTAAAATGTGTAAATTATTGATTTTTTAATAGCTAGTACATAACAGGCGCGCGATTCGCGCGCGCTGCGTACTGAATCCCATACATCTTCCAATAACATTTATACTTTACATTATACAATTTACACTTTAATTTAACAAATTTTAACAATTTTTGAGAAAAAAATTTTCAAAAAAATGACGCTTTGCGCGCGGTGCGTATTAAACTCCATACATCTTCCAGTAACATTTATACCAAATTACATTTTAATTAAACAAATTTTAACAATTTTCAATAAAATGACGTTTTAATCGGCCATTTTTAAATAAAATCACGATTTTTTAGAAAATAGCCACATAATTTATCTTTAAGATGAGCCCAGAAAGAAGTCTATATCTTAATTTTTCTGAAAGATATGAATTTTTAAACATTGGGAAAAAGAGGCTTCAACGCAGGTAACACGGCAATTTTAAGATAGGACTCTAATATTTATAAACGCAGAATAACTAGAAGAATCATATTATGTACAAAAAAGTTATATAATTCCATTTAAAAAAAATGGCAGTAACATATCTACATCTAATCTTGATGATTTTGTAAAATTGATTTTTTCGAAAATTGATTTGTCCAGCTTCAGACTGTACAACTTTTGTTTGAAACATCTTTTTGTTATCCCTTTCAGGGATGATATCTTGTAACATTACAATTGCTCTATCCCGTATACATATACGATGTATATCAGTTCAACTTTTCTCACAACATAGGATACAGTGTTTGATTGCTCTCTTCAAACAAGGAGCGGACAATACAACAGCTCTGAGTCAAAGAGAAACGTGGCAGATAGAATACTTGAACGAGGACGGTGGTGTAACTAAACTGGTATAAAAAAAATTTGAAATTTTAGTAAAAAAATTACTATTTTTCTTTTTACTACATTATCTTATTTGTGCATGTTGTGTTGTTTCCAATAGCCATACCTCTTTGAAGAAATAGTTTTGACGATATCGAGACACGCGCGAGAAACAGTAATCGCTTGCGGTCCAAGAGAAGGGCCGTTATTCAATAATCCAGCCCATCAGATTCTCTATCACAATACCATTAAGACATTGTTCATATCATTCGCACGGTGCCTACAACAATTGGCGTTTAGCGGCTGCGAGGAAGCCATGGATAACGATGAAACATCGGTTTCACAACTGATCGGCTCACCTTCTGGCTATAAAAATAAAACCAATAAACATCAAGGACCAGTAAGCACTGTTGTAATCCGACTTGCATTCACAGCATTATTTTTACTAATAGTCCTTTTGTCCTTTAATCTACTATAAAATGTATATGAATTTTTTATCAGACGTGGGAGCAGTGCCTCTTAATTTCATTAAGTAATATACGATACACGCTAAATATCGTTTTACCAAGAATCGGAGAGACCCTAAAAGTGCAAGGCTACCCGGAATTATCCATTGCTGCTGGATGGAACTCCGATTGGACACAATTGGAAACGCTGGACAGTGCCGTTCTGGACGCATATCTAGAACGCCGTTGCGATCCACTTGTCGGCACGATAGAGCCTAGTATGTATTTAGGCGGTTTGGAATGGGACTTTGACACGGAGCCGACCCATTTGAAACCGTATGCCCAAGAAATATTGGCGAATCTAATCGCGGTACACGCAGAGGTAATAGAGATGATTATGGAGATGTGGCATACTCAGGATGAATGTTACATTGGATCTAATCTCTCTCTCTCTCTCTCTCTTTCTCTTTGTCACGCAGGTACGCAGAGTTGCACCAGCTTTGTTACAACGGATTCTGTCTCATATAATAGAGACCATAGCGGAGGAACTTGCGCGACTCATGTCGTGTGTTACGCAATTTCGTCCTGCCGGAATTGTTCAAGCTCGAACGGATATAATACTCTTGAGAAATGCCCTGCAAGCTTACAGCACAAGTAGAGCGAGGTAAAAATAAAAATTGAATATCGAAAATAGTCTCGCTCTATCGAGAATATCGTCTCGCGAGTATCGCGTCTCGTGAAAATCGTATGTTGTAGAATTTAAGTCGATCTTTCTTTCATTCACTCTCTTTTTCGAGCAGAAGCTTTTTTGAGGAAGCTCTGGATGCGATACCTCAGCCCGTGAACAAAGAAGATCGCATGAGAATAGATGCTCTTTTGTCAAAAGTCGCAACGTGCATGCGACTGCAGTTGTCATGTCTTACCAGCGAGGTAACGGAAAATGTTCGTAATTTAACGACGGATCCTGAACGCGTTACTATTGTGTAATATATAACGACCAAAGTAGTACGTAATGATTGGACGGAGACATTGTAAATTATTAAAAGAGTTCTATTGTATTTACGTAAACACACAATGTAGTGCATTATGTACAATGGATGCGAAATGTCGAATTCTCGAATTCTTGCCATTTTTATTTTGATTGCAATCAGTGTAAAATAGACTTCATTATATAATCAATTTTATTTCCTGTTTCTTACATTTTTTATGGAAATTTCATCTACGTAAAACTTTGTATTTTTTTCTTAGGTATATTCGTAGTTACAATGGTGTAAAAATATAAGGTATATTGTGCGTGACAGAATAATAGAATAAAACCAATCAAATTTTTGTTCTAAAACAGTCTTGCTGCTTTTTACAATCTCAGACAAATTTTTGATTGGCTCAAAGAGCAGCCACCATATTGGACGACCTCCCGAGGATGTCCATCGCGAATGATACATCTTATATTCTTACATCACGATTACAACGTAACAAAGATGGAAATCTATTTCCACCATCTATTTCATATACATCGAGTATTGAATTGATGAATTAGGCTTTTGTAATCAGTTGCAACTTGCCAGTATCTGCAATTAATAATACAGTGTCACCTGAAAAACGTCGCAAAATTAAACAAAGTTAAATGATAATAAAAAGAAAATTTCAAGTGGCGTAAATCGTTTTTCTACAGCATGATATGTGGAATTTTACCCGTTTGAAAAATTTGGGTCGCGCCTTTGGCACCAACGATGCAAGGAAGACCGTATTCTCTTGCTACAACGGCGCCATGGCTTATAAGTCCACCCAACTCTGTTACGATACCAATTAATAATGGAAAATATGGACTCCAACCGATATCGGTGCAATGTGTAATCAAAATATCTCCGTGTTGTATATTTTTTGCTTCGGACAGATCGGTTATCACGCACGCTCTGCCTAGCGCATGACCGCCGTAAACTGAAGTACCTTCAATCATTGTACATCCTTCGTAGGGTGAGACGTCGAGAAGGCTCTGTGTGATAAAAAAAATACAATATAATCTCAGGGATATGTTCAATAGAAATATATTGAGAGATATAATGACAAAAATGATTTTTCTGGACAGTATGATACACAAGTGGCTTAGCTTAGCTCGACTCGATTTGACTTGGCTTTCTACATTTACGACAAACCTGTATTGGCATGGGTATGGGCATGCCTGTACTGAATTCTGGATACTCATGTTTTGATACTTGTTGAAAAATTTTCCTTCTACGTAGCGCTCTGAAAGATTTCAAATAAGATAGACATGGTAAAATTATGATTGTGCGTGTGTGCAGGATAAAAAGCGATACAATGAATAATATGACGATAACAAAATAGAATAATATAATTCGAGTTACTTTCGCACGAGTAACGGATTATGATGGTTCAAAAGTTGTCCGATCTCTTGATGTGTCAGGAAAAATATAAGACGTTCATCAGGTATGTAACTCTCCGCAACCATCAAAGCACCAAGTCGTCTATAAGCTAATCTCAATTTATGCAAAGCAGATATAGCCACATTCTTTGTCATTTCTCTGAGCGTAACAGCTTTTCGACAAAAAGGTATCACTTTCCGCAGAAAAAATTTGATAATCGATGACGTGGATGTCTTCAAAGATGCTATGGTTTCTTGCACGCTAAATGTTTTAGTCACGTAATTCTCTTCGATGGATGTTGCCAATACCTAATAAAAATAGAAATGGGGAATACACATAAACATTAACATATATATATATATATAGTTGCTACTGCTTCATTTGACAAATTTTTCTTTTTATAAATAATTTGAATTATCTACCTGAATCGTATTGATGATACTATCAGGTTTAAGTATCCAAGGTTCCGTGAACAAATCTAATTCCTGAACACCTCTATGACCGTGCATTTCGAAAAAAGTTTGTAGTTTTTCCGCAGCCGGAGAGCAATTTAATTTCAACCAGGCCATAACTTTTGTGCTCTCGATCTTACTAAACTCATCCGCTTTGCCGCTCTTTCTGATGCATGCCGCTATTTTGCCGAGGGCTATTGGCACTTCAGTACTGATAACATTGCTGCACGAACTCAGCAAAATAGCAATGTCCGCAAGATGTTCAGACGTAAAGTTATCACTTCCATTCGTTAAAAGCGACATCGCTATCATCTGGTAAGATACGCTTATAAAGGACGCCATGTTGTGACCTTTTCCTATCTGAAATATGAATGTTTTAATGAATAATTTAACGTTAATAGAGAGAAATTTTTTAAATTAATTTAAGTAAAGATGAAATTATTTGAATGTTTATTCTCTCTCTCTCTCTCTCTCTCTGTGTGGGTGATAACTTACTAGAAAGATTTCCCCATATTTCTCACTTATGAGATTGTATAAATCGTGAGGTGTATCAAACTCGTTAACGTTCAGAGTATACTTGTTAAATATATCGATCGTTTCCTTCACCCTCGCGTCATTCATCCATGCTGATTTTAACATATCGTATATCATATATATGCTCCGACCTTTGCTTACGATACCGTATTTCTCTTTTGCTGCTTCGTGCATTTCAGGTGTCGTTACTACACGTCCGCATATGGCTAAGTCTATCATTTTATTAGCCATCGTTATTTCTTTACTAACATCTTGTAAAGCTGACTGTGAAAGAAAGGAAGACAGAGAAAGGGAGATCAATTTACGTTAATCATCCAACGTTATTCTCTACGATGTAAACGCGCGACACGACAAACGCAAAGATCCAAGTACTTACATCTAAGTAATTTATCGCGCACCTCATACCGATCATATGAAGAAAACTGGAATCAAACTTATTGAATTTCGCACCCAACGATAGATTCAAAACTTTTATAACTGTAGAGATCGACAGAGGAGTAACGGGATATGGAAGCACTTCCTCGATATTGGCAAAGGTCATAAGATCGACATCGCAAGGTACTCCCGAGTCTAATTCGTGCATTATCTCGAAATCCGTCCATGCATTAATGGTTGTGATAGGCCGTGCTTGCAACAGATAAATTCGCTCGCCGACAACCGCCCATTCCACATCTCGAGCAGATTCAAAAAGCGATTCTAAGTGCAATCCTATTTTAGCTAATCGCAGAGCGATTGTATCGGATATCGAAATCTTCTTAATTTCCTGTTCATTTAGAGTGCTCGTAGTTATGCCATCGTCACTGAGCGAGATCTTCTGCCTCTTATTTCCCAGCACCGAGCCATCTACAGTCAGAGTGTTGTCCCACTTTCTACGAATTGTCAAGGTATCAGGCTCGACTTTACCTGATACTACCGTCTATAAAAAGAAAAAAAAGTTACTTCAAGTCGATTTATATTATTTATAGTACGCGTGACAAATATAAGAATTGGTGTGTAGAACGATTACAAAAAAATATATTAAATAGCATTTAATTTATAAATACATATCAACGCATTTTGAAATACTTTTGTAAACCGCTATTACACAGCTACGAAATATGATATTTCTATTATTAATTGATCATGACCTCTCCTAAACCGTAATTGGCTGTAATAATAATGCTGGACGGATCTCCGGTTGTGGGATGTCTAGTAAACATGACGCCAGCCGCTTTTGCGTCGACCATTCTCTGAACGCAAACACCCATAGATGCTCTTATCGGCAGTCCATTCTGTCGTCTGCAATCGATTAATTATGCACGAAATTCAAGACAACACTAACGAGCACGACAACATTGTACAAGAGTAAATTACCTATACTCGACGCTTTGATACGAGAACAGGCTTGCCCAGCATTTGGCAACGCATCCGATAACGTCATTCGCATCCTTCACGCCTAAATACGTCGAGTTTTGACCGGCAGCTGAAGTTTCCTCGCTGTCTTCTCCAACCGCACTGGATCTTACGGCGTAGCGCGGTCGTACATGTACATCTTTTCCACATCTTGCAGACGATTCTAATTTCTTCAAACCTTGCAATATCGTTTTTGCAATTTCTTCTTCGACAGGAGTACCTTGAATAATGGACACCGCTCTGAAAAACAGAGGACAAGCTTAGTTGTAATCGAGATACATTTCTACGAAATGTTAGACGTACTTTTGACAATAACTTTCGAGGTCCCCTTTCTTTTTACAACAACTGATATCTATTATGTCGGCGATTAAGTTCTGCAATTGTTTGTGATGTTTCAATTGTCGTTCTAAAGCGAAACTCGTTACACAAAAGCCTTGAGGTACTGTAAACTACAAACGGAAATCAATTTTGCATATAAAGAATTTCTTGACTCGAGCAACAATGTATTCCAAGTAGTATGTACATACGTCATCGGTGCGGGTAATAGATGTCAAAATCGCAAGAGAATATCCTTTTCCTCCGACGATGCATTCATTTTGACATTGTTTATCAGCAAAATGTAGAATGTATTTATCTTTTTGCGCAAATGTGTCGGGCCGCGTTATATGTTGAATTTCCGCGATCGAAAGGTCCTGCGGGGCTTGTCTCGGTCCAGTGTATGGGCAACACGTAATCATCAGTCCAACACCTATGCATTTAAAGAAATAAGATTCAAGACTTTGTTTGCAGATGTAAGGTCAATTTCAATTTGGGAAAGTGGTGGCTTCTTCTGTTTATTATTACGCTCCACATACCTGTACTGCCGTTTAATTGTATGCGCAAATTACGAGTTGTACAAGTCCAATACCATGGCTGGCCATTGTAACAGGTTATTGCGTTACCCACCGCGTAATTGATTATGGAGTTGTACTGTTTTCCAGCTGCTGGAAAATGAAAAACAGTGGTGTATAAATATCAGCTCGTATCAAGCTGTAGTATATAATATTAAAAGAATATAGGTAATAATCTTTATACATATAATACATTATTGTAGAAATAGAATATAATTTCTATATAATATTGTATCAAGAATAATAATTAAGCTGTAGTAATCCCCTTTCTTTTTACAACAACTGATATGATACTATTACGTCGGCGATTAAGTTTTGCAAATTGTTTGTGATGTTTCAATTGTCATTCTAAAGCAAAACTCTAACGCAGTGTTTTATGCCCTAATTCATTTTGCATAACGCATGATAACGCGTGATGACATTTGTCGATCACATGACATGAGTATAAATACATGAGAATAAAAACCTGTAAATGCAATCTTATAGTTGATGGGAATTGTAGCTTCTTGTTCAGAGTCGCTTAGTTTTAGATCGGTCCAATCAATTTTGGTTATTGTTCCTCCAGCTTCCTCGAGGTGTCCAAATTGCATGCTGGAATCATTTCATGAAATGATTAATGTATTTCCTATTATTTTAAAATTACATAAATGCATAATTAAAAAATATTCATCATTACTTGTATAAAACTTCTCATATGATATTTGTATTTCTAAAGCAATGATAACACAATTGAATAAAATAAAGATGTAAAAGTAGTAGAATTTTTTTCACACAGAAAGAAATTTTATTGAATGTAACGACGATATTTTATCATGATTATATGATTATATGAAAATTGGAATATTGCATTTGTTTGTCTTACTGTGAAAAGCTTTGTTTGGTACTGGTCACACCAAGATAATACATTGTTCCATGTTGTGTTACACCAAAAAATGTGATCATTCGATGAAATTGATAAGATTCGTGTTTGCCCCAACGTCGCTGGCAGAGTCCTCGTAAATAAAACGTACTTGCATTTGAATCTTTGAGCGTTATCTGCCCGATAATGGAGCCCCACAGATCAAAGCCGGTATAATCCATTAATCGACTGTAACGTTAACAGAAAGAAATAAAGCTTAGACAGCTAGGATATGTTATACTCAAATGAGGGAAAAAAACATGTTAAAAAACATCCAACTATATTAATATTATTCAGTTTTACATTTTGTGCATCCAATCATGATTCTTCCATGGTTCACGTGCTAAAGCATCCGCGTGCAAATAAGTACTCCAATCACCTGGCCATTCTAACAATCGGGGTTTGCCAATAAATCTGGGGAAAAAAAAAAAAAAAAAAAAAACCCGAATGAAGATATATTTGTTCATTCGGGATAGAATGTTTATTCGGCTAATTACGTTAATTTTTTAAATATTTTTTAATATTTTACAACTTTATACATGCTTGATTTTACTTACATAAAATTTAGACGAATATGTTCCACATTGTCGTTATCGGATATATCTCCTTGGCATTGGTTTCGGAGGAAGCCATTGTACGTAATTCTCCAACGTTGTCGTGGTTCTAACGACTCAATTTTTAGACCTGACGCTGACCATTTTTGGCTTGTGCCTCTTACCGTAATTGTATCAGGATAATCTGCGTAATCATAATGAGAGTATGACTCTTTATTGGATTATTATATTTATCGCTTATGTATAGAGTAGAGTCGGACTAGTTGAGCATAGGTGCAAGTCGGGATGTGTAAATATTTTAGTAGCCGAAACGCGTATAAGCACATCGATACTTGCATAAAAACTAGTGGAGACGGAGACAGACTATTGCTCTGAATCCGTCACTTGGCACACGGCCAATAACGAGCGAATTTATTTGCGTTTGTAATGTAAGTAATTGTTTTTTTTATCCACGTGGTAATTGAAACGATTAATGAAAATTAAATATGTTTTTTTGACATCGGTAATATTTTTCGATTTTAATGATTAAGTTGCTAGTTTATATACGTTTTTTTTAGTTATAAAAAAATATTCCAGCCCACACCGGTACAGGGCTAGTTGATTCGGTAAAGTATCCCAATTAATCCCGTTTACAAACTGAGATAATTAAATAAAATCTGTCTTCAATAGTGCTTTCTACTGTTGTTTTTATTTATTTATATAAACATAATAAACATAAAAAATCTCAATAGATTAAAATAACGAGAGTTCGTTAATGCGCCAAGCTAGTTTTAAGTGCTAAGTAATATATCTAATTGTGTAATAAATAATTCCGCAAATGTTGCCGCCTCTAATAAGATAGAGTCATGTAACTTACAAAATAAAAACAATATATTATATAATAATTGAAAATGATACGCACGCATAACATGCGTTAACTGCGTCAAAATTCGAAATTTGTTCGAAACATGTAATTTTTCTTTCTTTTACAAAGCTGTCGTCTGATCTTTAGTATCGAACTATGATGAACTTGATACGTCTGATTCTCGATGCAATTAGCGACCTAATTTTTAATCCTGAGATTCATCGAGAACTTGTTCTATACAATTATACAAATTTCATAATAAATTTTGACCGTTCAGTTGACCGTTATGTGCGCGTATTAGCCTCAATTTATATTGTGTTTATTTAATTTGTTTTTATTTTGACTCATCGCAATGAAGAGTGACCTTATTATTAAGATAATTATCTTTATGCCCTCAAGATGGCCCTTCAACATGCCCCATAAGTGGAGTGTACACTGTGTGAGCCACTCTAACTTTTTATATTTCACGAATTTTTTTATTTATATTTACAAAATATATTAAGAATCTATGAGTACTTAATTATTGAGTTAGATGGATATGTAACATGCGCGCGTTTTAAAGAAATTCTCATTAGTCATAATTGTGTAAAGATTTATAATAGTTTGCGCATAAAAAGTTGCCCAACTAATTACCGCGTTCTACTTTTATATTATATGTTTGTGCAAAATGACTTTTACCGGGTAATACGTAGATTCGGCCGTCCGATAGCATCACTTGCAAAATCAATTCTGCTGTATGATACTTTCTGTGATTCATTTTAACAAATAACGAATTTCCTTTTTGATCGGCACCGTAGAAGGATACGCTATCGCAACTCTGTGTCATACAAATGAATTTAGAAATCCGTATGATCAATCCACATATGATTAATCTATTCTCAAATGTATTACGCAATACTTACATTCTCGTCCATAATAATTTTTGGATTATCCGAGCATGGTTTCAAAATCTTCTTTATATTTGATATCACGTCACTGTCTTTGACTTTATTTGTCTCTGTTTTTTTCTCCTTCGAAATGCACCAAAGAGCCCACCATCGCTTTAGAACAAACTGTATATCTACAGAAATTTGTTAATTTAAGCACAAACGTAAATGCTTTCATTAAATAAATTATTGCTATATTATTTCAAAATTAACAAAGCAAGCTTTCATAAATTATTCTGATACGCAATGAAAGATAGACTTTTATTTGTCTAGATCATCTTACCTAATCCCAAGTAATACGAGATCTGCTTTTTCATAAACCAGAAATAAATCCATACAGGAAGCATGATCGGAATCAAAATTTGTATGGCGCACATAATGTATGCCATTACCTATTTTGTAGCACAAATTCGTGGCACAAATATTACAGTTTGCAAGGAGTTTCTGTTTATGCTGTAAAGAATATATACACACGTAAATACATATGTGTGTGTGTGTGTGTGTGTGTGTGTGTGTGTGTGTGTGTGTGTGTGTGTACACGCACAAAGATGCTACCATCTAGCAAGGAAAAGACATATTGGACTGTTTCTCGCCTGTTATATATACGTATATCAGTAGATATCAAACACTGATGTGTTATCGCATTAATTCAATTTAAAAGATTCAAGGTCCATCGTTATCAGGCAACACAGTCACAGTATTTTCTTACGCAATCAATCAAATATAATCATACCTGGAAGTAGTCAGATGACATATAACATTTGCTAAACAAACGTCCCAACAAGGAATGTGCCGTTGTCTGACTTTTTTCTGCCGTGTTTAACGTTATATAATTTCTTCTACGAGTCCTTTGTTACGCTGGTCACTGAACGCGTCGCACCGATGATATTGGATAATATTATCGTATTGATTATATATTGATTGCAAGATTCGTTATCAGACCATTAAAAAAAAATGTAACAACTCTCTAGGTGGTAATAAAATAAAATTTATAAAATATATTTTTTGTAACAAATGTGTGCGTACATTAATTAAATTTTCACATTAGCGATATAAATGCTGTTTCAGCGTAATAACGCTTCAACACACGATATTATGAAAGTTTTAAATTCTAGATAACAAAGACAAACAATAACAGTAAACAATAGGAAATAATTTTTAATTTGTTTTTTTGTTCGAATTGTTGCCGAAATCAATAGCTTCTTCTGTAATTGTATCGGTATCCATACGTGATTTATCCACTGGGTATAACCTGATACAATATTTTCAATATTTTAGAATATAAAATAACTTGTTCAAATACCACTGAACAAGCAGCAAGTAGCGACAAATTTTTGAACGAGGTAAGTAGAAATCCTTTCAAAAATCGATGACGAACAGTTTCCGTTCCGTAGCAGATCGGACAAAAAAAGCCAATGAAAAGCCAAAAGGGACAAAAACACATATTTTTGAAGAATATCTGCCTTCAGGTAGAATCAGGTTAGAAAAAAAAACTCGTTTATCCAGAAGCATTATCTAATTCGGTAAATCTATTCACAAGCGAATGTAGAATATTTGCAAAATTGAATGTGAATTCATGAAAATTGGATTTAATTATTCCCGAAGCAAACTACTTTGGTCAAGGACGTACCCGAAAAATTTTCTGCATTCCACATTTTACGATATATTCTCCATCGTTTAACATAAGTTGCGCAACGAGTTCAGTGGTACTCGGCATGAATTTCGAGTTGGACGAAACAAAACTCTCTTACCATCTTTGAGACAGATAAATTACAAAAACGATGTCATCTCTGAAACACGCTATTCTATGAGCTGTCGGCATCGTTATAATAAAAGCAAACACGTCGTCGATGAACGTGTTAAATGCTTTGTACATGAACGCCCTCCATGGCATGTGCGCAACGGATTTCAATTTATAATTAACGAACAATTGCGGTAGCATAAAGAGGAATCCAAATGTGTAAACTCCATTCACTAAGGAATTTATGCTCCAAGAATACCAGCTGTAACTCAAAACAACGTAATTGGCAGTTTATCTAACAATAAGAAAATATTAAAATATTATCATAAAAAATTATTTAATACATATACTTCCATTTGTTTTAGATATAAGAGGTCGTTTACCTTTTATGCGGATAATAAAGTAACGAGTAGATTGCACCAATGATAACTAATGGATATAACAAATAACTCAGATAACGCATAATCTCGGCATCGAACTCTCTAGTTTTCACCTCTGCTACATCAGTGCTTGCATCGGTTTTAAATTGTATTCTTGGAAAAATGCCATTGCTGCTAATCAATTCTACTCGCGATATCTTTTTCAGTTTCCACAGCTATTAAACAAACAAAACACACATACACACATATATTTAATAAAAACTAAACCATATTACGTATTACATCGATATCGATACGATAATCGCGACAACGCGATATAATTCTGTCGATATAAATTAACGTATATATATCATATATTCGTAACACACACATTCAGTACATGATATACATATATGTACCTCGATAACAGTGCTGATACCAGTCGGAATGAGAACGAGCGAGGAAGAACCTTCGTCACAAAGATAAAGGAAAATCACAGTCTGACTGAATGCACGCCATATCACAGTCCATTTGCTGAGGCCTATGAGATTACTTTTTTTCCGCCAAAAACTGACATCATTTTTAATAGCAAGGAAATCAAACAACAACTGTAACACGAAACATTGGCGTTCTCATTTCTCCTTCCTTTTAGTTTTTTTTCTTTTCTTCAATTTTCAAGATGTATGTAATACAGTATCTGTACTTGTACTCACATGTACAGCCGCGATGAAAAACGTACCACTCAGTAGATAGACATTGGTATCGACAAAGATGCCTTTTACCTCATCAATATCCTTGTCAGAGAAGCCAAGATTTTTCAGACTTTCCATGGTCGCCTGCGCGTGCAGCATCAATCTTAATTTTCCCAATGACACAGGCGAATATTCTACCGTGACGTTTGTTGTATTATTTTCCGGGGTAATTCGTTTAAGGTCCCTATGCCGTGTTCGTAAGAAATCGCAGTTTACAATCGGCAAGAATGTCCGCTTGCCAATTATTCTGCAACAAAGTGAGATGAAGTGTTATCAATATTTTATTTGGACTATTGGATATACGCATTATTCGCGTTACTTGGTTAAAAAATAGAAATATATATATACTTTATACGGTTTACGAACTCGGCAGGTATGTCGTATATAGGAAGCAAAACGTTGTCCGTCATTATTGTAAAAGTCACGCGACTTTTTATATGCGAGACTGGACGTGTAATAAACTGGCTATTAGCTTCCTCTTCCTCATAGTTTTTGTCACCTAACAACTTGAACGCCTCTGCTTCAGGTACTATGTATTGTGTCATTTTAATAGTGGTATATGAAGTAAATAAATCCTATAAAGATGCAATTAAAGGTGATGTAATGTTGAAAATTCCAAAAATTGAGCGTTTATATATATATATGTGTGTGTGTGTGTGTGTGTGTGTGTGTGTGTGTGTGTGTGTGTGTTCATATTACATGTTGTACATTACTTTTTGCAAATCAACAAATGTCCTGTCCTGTTTTACAGAAGGAGGCGTTAATAATACATGTAAAAATAATGTTCCATTCCGCCGCGTCTTGCGTGGTACAGTCAGTAATACTGGACTGAAACAAAGAAAACATAAGTGTATATTTGTTAGATTTGTAAGAATAGAAATTTCCCTCAGATTATTCTTATGGATTTATGTATACGTAGATCGATTTTCTCTTTTTTGCACTCTCTAGCAGACTCCCTGTCTGAGAAGAGGCAAGGCGAAAGAGATAGTACATAATAGAACGAAAAGGATAAATGTGTATACAGGAATAAGTGTTCAAAGGGAGATTAACGATCCGATTAACAATAAATGATGGGTAGAGATGCTCACATGGTTTGCATTTGATCGTAATCGAAGTTTTGCGCCGAGTATACGAAATCGGTGTCTCTGCTGACAGGATTTCTCCCAATGGAACTGTACATGTACAAATCCAACTGCGGTCGTTCGCTCAGGTACGATTCGAGGCACGGTTTGCCATCCTCGCAGGGCGGCGACACGAATAGCAACGACATCAAGTATATCGAATAGACGATATATGCCAGAAATATTTCGGCAAGAATAACGCTGAGCGAGGGCCACGGCATTTTAGCTGATTTCGGCACGAGTATTTCGTGTAGAGGTATCTGCGTGTATTACAAAAAGTACAACGCATACAACATTATGGGCGTTGTTATAATCATTATGAACATTATGTAGTAGGCTCTTGCATGCCTCGGAGTGCGGGATTACGCCGATTACACGGAGGGAGCACGGAGCGTCTCGAATGTCTCGATTCTTGTTCGAGTTTAGCAGCGTGGTTGGCAGAACAGCCTGAACACTCTGAACAGCGGGTCAACGAGATACATACATTACACGTGCTCAATCATAAACCCGGCTGACTTGTACTACATACATACTATAGCAAATGTAGTCCAATATAATCGTATGCACCGCGCACACCATACCACACGCACACGTCACCGACAGTTACGGTAGTTGATTGGCTCGCGCATCGTTTACGTATCGTCAGTCGTGTCACATGCGTGACGTGTGCTTTACACGAACTTTCTCGTCGATGTGGCAACTCCGTCGGTACTTAGAAATGCGCCTGTATCGATAAAATTCGGGAAATATGCTGATCGTAAGATGACGGGTCAGCATCCGTCGTCCTTATACTGCTTTCAGCGAGCACTACTTTGAATCGGTAAAAAAAAAGATATTTCTCTATGGAATTCTAATTTAAAAGACATATATATATATATATATATATATATATATATATATATGTGTATACACTTTTTTCTCGTTACAAAAATTATTCGTTATTGCACCAAATTACGGCAGGAAAGAAATTAAGAAAAATGCTAAAAGAATTATTGCCTTAAATATTTTTCTTGAAAAGAAAAGACTTTCGGACTCGATCAAAAAGAATCTATTGTCGAAGATAAATAATGCGACGAGATAAAGATTATATGATTGTGATTGATCTTCCTTATCAATTTGTTTAAGTTAATTTAATAATTATAAATTAATTTAAATTTCGATATCAAACGAGGCGTAAATGTTGATTTGGCGCAAAGTGTTTCGCTGGATTACGCGTTTTTTCGTTTCCTTCTGAATCATTCATCGATGAAGTTAATGGTTGCAATAAACCGTGAACTAAGCACACCCCTGCAGGGAGCACAAGCGATGAGCGTGCGCGCAACTCGTCGCTCAAACACGAGTAGGACGCGAGTGTCGTGGTGTGTGCCGCGGATCGTGGACGGAGAAGTCAGAAAGCGCGTCTCCTTACAGGAGTATAGCTGGCGCGGACTCGCGGGGGATCAAGATGTAAGCCGTCAAGGCGCGGGGATGTCATGCTAGAGAAGAGCGGGCCCAGACTGAGTGAGAGAGAGAGAGAGAGAGTGAAAAAGGGAGAGGGGGAAAAAGGAAGAGAGTAAATGGATGAAAGTAAAGAGCAAGAGCGAGAGCGAGAGAGGAAACGGAGAGAGAATAAGGCCTGGCATACATGAAGGGTGAATACAGAAATGGAGTAACTGAAAAAGGGGAAAAGGGGATCGATCGATTGGCTGATAGCAATGGAGGACATGAGACTAGAGTAAGTACCATATCATTTCCGGTCTTGTCAAGAGTTGCGCGACTGGGTATATGTGTTACGTACGCGTATATATGTATGTACATGCGTGTGCTCTTCCGAGGAGAAGCGTGAGCGCGAGCGCGAACGCGAGCGCGCTCTTGCCGAGGCCGAGGAAGAGGAAAGTAGGACGTCGGGGGTGGTTGGTGGTATGTCGGGATGGGCGGTCGCGCGCGCGAGTTGCGGGAGGTGTTCCGCTTTCTCGCCCTCGTCGTCTTGACCTCGCCGTCTCCGAAAACGCAAACGGAGAGCGAGCTTCTCTTTGAACTTTTGAAGGTGGAAGCGAGAGCGACTCTCTGCGATGGCTCGACGAGGGCTCGATCTCGACGACACGACACGCGCGTCGACGAGTGCAACGAGAAATCGGCCAAGAGGACGTGAAAACGGGCGGTGAAGGTCTGGCGCGGATGTGCTGGCACGAGTGCTGGTGCTGGTACTGGTGCTGGTGCTTAATGCGATAATCGCCAGTGATGACAATGAGACGGCATCTACGCGTACTCCGATGAGAGCTTTCTCCAGTGAGTGTAACATAACGTTCATGTGAGAAATCTGCAAAGTGAGAAACCAATTTCGACGAGTCGATTCGCCGCTGTCGCTGTTACCGCGCGCTGCCACGCGATAAACGATTTTACACTTCTTCGTGTTAATTCTCTCTCTCTCTCCCTCTCTCTCTCTCTCTCTCTCTCTCTCTCTCTTTCTCTTTCGCTTCTGTATCATCACTATCACTAAATCATTTTATGCTTATCCGCGGCATCTGACATTAAGTACCAAAATTAGACTCGATGCGTAGAAGCAAATTCGATCGTTTCCTACAAATGGAAAGGCTTGCCACCCTCGTGACTGTGACCGAGCCGCGTCTCGGTCAAGGCTCGCAAAATACAATTTTTCACGAAGGAATCATTTATATAAAACAATAGCACAATTAAATGCCTCGCGAAATTTGCGCGTACTATATAATCTTGCGATATATGATTTTTTTTCATTTTCGTTCAATTTTTACATTTTCTTAATATATTATAAAAGAGTAAAGCTAAGTACGCCTATGATATTATTTCATCGACCTTTTTCTCTAAAAATTAAATAGTTGTATTTGAATATGAAAATTATGTGTTAAAGTATAATGTGAAACCACACACTACTTTTATAGAGAAATAGAATTATTTAGCGTAATGAAGATTAATATGGATTGCAGAATTGTGATGGAATAACGAATTCAAGTCAGTAAAAGAGCAATTCTCAATTGTGTGACGATTTTATGGTTACTTGTATGGCTCACATATACTTGCTTGCGTATTTCTCTTCTTTCAGTTAGAGAGATATATTGCGAAGCGTTCTCTCTAACATATTCTAACATCGAACCGTCTCATATAATCGATCATCAGAGCACGACATAGGAGCGATTACGTATAACGTAAGGAGCATGGTCACATTTGTCAACGAATTGAACCTGACGTATTCGCGTTGCGCCTAGTCATCAAGTCTTTGTCACGAAGAGATGAATCTCATGGCAATCGCCGTCGCGCAATTTCTCTATCGTCATGGATACCATATACATGAGAGAGATTATCTTCGCCTGCCTATACATTATTGGAAAATAAAGTTGTCGAAATTAAGTTCAATTGCTGCGTTTAAACATCAGTCATGCGATTTTTCCTTTTCCTTTTTCCAAACAATTCGCTAAACGATAAATGGAGAAAATCAATTTTAATTTAATTGTAATACATACTTTTATTTATTTTACTTGGACACTGCGATATAAATCTTGTCTATCAAATGCGACGCGACTAACTAAAATAGATCAACAATTAATCAAGTAGCGAATGATGCTTTATTAGGTTTATTATTCTTTTAATTCAATTTTATCGGTATTTTCGTTGGTATTTATTTTACAGCTTCGTTGTGAAATAAAAATCAGAAACAAGAGATGAAGGTCGATCGAAAACTCGGATATTGCTCTCGTGACATACTACATACTATCAAAATCATACTACAATACATAATTAATATCTTAGAAAGTGATAACTATTGCGTACATTTGGCGTACAATCTGCAACTTTGTGACTTATACATCTTTGCATAATCTTCCTCGGGAGTATATCTTCCTAAGGAAAATCTTGATGCGTAGTCTCACATTTACGCTTCGAAGGCGATGAGCTATAAATAGAAGAGCCTTGTTAGCGGCTGCACAACGTACGCGACCTGTACCTGTACCTGTACCTGCGGCATCTACCAGATGCATCAGGTACAATTTAACACAACTACGTCATAATCACATTACAAGATACCATTCCGTACACAAACGTATACGAGCTGTTCTAGATTCATTGCGAATTCACTCATTTAATCGTAATCCATTCTATTGTAAATTTAACTGTGCAAAAATTCGAAATTTCAGTCCTACAGAAAACCACATTACATATTTGTTTATTATTATACATAGTTATATATTTATTTTTTATGATTAATGATGCTCCGTTATCGAAAAATCGTTCAAGAAACACTCGTCTGTCTCGACGTGTTGCGTCGATTTTGTTGTCGTGCCTTCCATTTAGTGACACAAGTCGACACAAACGTCATTTTATCCTTTTTGGCACTTACTAATTAGTGAGTATACGAAGATAAAACGACTTGTATCGGCTTGCGTCATTAAATGGAAAGCATTTTTTTTAGGTGACTTTCCAGGTCTTGCCCCCCCGCCGCCGCCGCCACTATTGTCTAACAGTATTTTTTATAATTATTGCGATATATTTGTTAAGTAAAATATGTTTTATAATGGTTAGAAGTTACAAAAAATATTATTATAAAGAACGATTAGTATATTATAATTGTTCGATTTTTCATGGTAATTTGATATTGTTACTGATGGCATATTTGATATTTCTCTTTGAAAGGACACGTCCTAAAAGAACTTGAACCGGACATCAGACAAACAACGATTGAGTGATAATACTACTTCTATCACATAAACTTGTACGCGTATTAATACAGCGATACATGAATCACGTTGTTCACTTGGCTTTGGTGCAATTTTGTGCTCGAGGTTTGACTTAATGTTAAATATGGATATGGATAGCTATAGTCATCAGTTAACCGTTAACTAGCCGGTCGACCAACCAGTCAGCCAGGCAGTGATCATGCACATGCATGTATACAGTGCAGTATACTATATTACTATATATACACGCACGCACATGTCGACGACGATTCAGCAAGCTCGCTGTAACGATCAATCTTTCCGACGACAGACTGTTTGTCGAGAGTTTTTCGGCCGGCCGATTGATCGGTTCCGATCAATTCAAAGGGATTACTTTACATTTTGCGGAATTTGCTCATCGAATCACATTTTTCTTTGCTGGTGATTATAGAAACGACCTGACGTCAGGGAATCACAAATACGCTGCAGGCATTGAAATTATTATAATTTTCGTTTAGTCCAAAACGGTAGAGATTATACTAACTTAACATTTTTTAGTTTTTAAATATTTAATGAATTTTCATCCATGAATTCTTTGATTGATTAGAACTCGATTTCTCCGTTAAAAGCAAAAACGTCAGAGACTTTTTTGTATTCTTCATTTCCGCGTTATATCTGCAGACAAGATTATCGTAATTTTACATATATACGAGCGACTATTCAACTATTCACACATTCGTTTTGGCAGATTTGGATGGTATCTTTGATTATCTGTGACAAATTTTACAGAAATTATAAATCGTGCGAAATAAAGACGAAAAAATTTTGCAGATAGTTTGTTTCGAATTTTGGTATTTTCCCGTATCCCTTTCGACTGTATACAAACTTTAAGATAAATGAATCGTTTTATTCGGATTTGAAAAGTTTTCTAGCGCAAATAACGTTAATCTCAAGTTCGAACGTGCGTTGGCAGAGAAAAAGTTGTGTTTGATTTAACCTGGATATGAAAACAAGTCTGTGCTACAATTGAATAAAGTAGACTCTGAAATATTAATTTGCGGAGTCACAAGAAGGAATCTTTCATTATTGTCAATTACATATGAAATCAATCGAAAAATCAATCGAAAAATTACGCGTGCGCGTAAAAGAAGTACATTGCAGAGGGGAAAAAAATATCGGATAAATTGTGTGAAAATGCGATTGCTGTTTAAGTCCCGAAACACAATAGATGTAGTAAGCCGTAAGCCGTAAGAAATTGACCAATCGCAATCGAATGTGAAGAGAATAATCGGTTACGATTGGTCAATTTCTTACGGCTTAAAGCTTACTACACCTATTGTGTTTCGAACTAAGGGGGTAGGGCACTTTGACCTGCAGCCTGAAAAATAAAGATTTTTTGAGCTTGGATTGCAGAAAAAGTATGAATTTGATTCATTTGTAATTTGGCATTTTATATTAATACATATATTAAATTTGTTATGTTTTAAATTTTATTGAAAAATATTAATCTTTCGAGGAAATACAGCAATCTGCGTAAAACGTGTACTTTTAAACGGTACGGATATGATTTCGCCATTTTAGTTATTCTGAAACAAAAAATCGAAATAGTTTCATAAATTAAAATGTTCTCCTTATCGCGTGACCGACGCGATTTTGTTGATATGCATTTTCAGTTTCCAAAATATAACAACATTTATAATGTCAAAAAATGTGTCAAAAATTTAAATATGCTTATTTCCGTCAATTTAAAAAAAAATGGAATAAAGCTCGGTCACGCGATAGCGATCGAGTACATTTTAATTTAAGAAACTATTTCGATTTTTTGTTTCATAATAACCAGAAAATGGCGGAATCATGTACGTACGTTTTACGCGGATTGCTATATTTCCTCGAGAGATTATCTTCCAATAAAATTTGAATTATAACAAGTTTAATATATGTGCCATTAATAAAGTGCCAAATTACAAGTGGATCGTATTTATACTTTTCCTGCAATCCAAGCAAAAAAATCTTTATTTTTCAGGTTGCAGGTCAAAGTGTCCTACTCCCTTATAAATTGCGGCTAATTTTTAATCTATATTTTAGATTGGTTTATCTTAGTTTAATTAGTTAGATTTTTATGCTTTTTTTAGGCCTTGCCTTTTCCACAATTCTGCAAAACAATTTCTTAAATGTGTTTGAGCCAACTTTTAAACAACATCCCCAAACGTGACAAGTATTTATTGCCTTTACAGAGTGCGACATCAAGAATAATACAATAAATACATATATTAATGTATCCTCATTTTTCGCACAAGCGTTCTAACGTACCAGCTAATATAAGTATATAATAATTACTTGTAAATGCAACTTGCTTGCACGTAAATGATTTTCCAAATAGCAACATAATTTTCATTATTTTAAACTGAACATGGATTTGCTTTATTTTTCACCAATGTTTAATGCAATCAGCATTAAAAAATTAGAAATCTCAAGAAAATGAATCTCTTGTTTCAATTAGTCTATAGAGTGAGTAAATTATGTTATCATCTTTTTAACTGTATACCATATATATATATATATATATATATATATATAATTTTTAATACTACATATAAATGTATTAAGAGAGTACACGATTATTAGCGTATTAAATATTTATTAATTGCAAAACAACAAGAAATAATTAGTAATTAAACGTCATGTAACATTTACGCATATAACATGTGTCGTAAATTTTCATTTTGTAGTTAATAAGAAGATGTTTTTGTTATTTAACATGAGTGTTGTTTTAAACAGTGTTTCGGGTTTTATCAAGCGAGAAGCATCACATGATATACACCTGTTGGTGTTACATTACATAATACTTGAAAACATCGGGTAGCAATAGCAAGAATGAAAGCGTAATGACTGAATCGGCGATTATAACATGTTTTTTCTTCCACACGCTATCAAAATCGATATAAAGATCGGTGCGAGACCGTGCTTTCGTTGAAAGTTTTATTAAAAATTTTGCGTAAAAGCTATCAAAATGTCGGCACAAATTAAAAGTATTATTTGAATTTGATTTCTCATATTTTTTTCAGTATTATCGTGGTCTGAGCGCTCAAAAATGGCATCAGGTTTGCCGAGTGTTCATCAAAAGAAGCTTGGACCAGCGCCGATAGCATCCTTCGAAGACTTATCCGAGGAAGTGGAAAACGTGAGTCCTACCTTGAGTTTCCTCTACTAGATCATCCAGCCCGAGAGCGGCTCTCTCTCTCTCTCTCTCTCTCTCTCTCTCTCTCTCTCTCTAAAACCGTCGACTTGAATCCCGATGTGTGCGATCTCGAGATTAATCTTCTCGATCGTCCGTGAGTTTTGTGAGTCACTGCGAGAAGCCGGCCCACGACCTGAGCCCAACAACCAACCAATCAACCCCGTGTGACTGTGCTACGACAAACCAGGAAACGAATTTGAATGCAGGGAGAATCGGCGGCAGCGGCGGCGGCGGCGGCGGCGGCAGCAGCGGTAGCGGCAGGGCGAATGCCGGGTATCGTCGAGGTCACCACACCGGCAACGCCTGGTAGTTCGCTCAAAACGCCTAGCACGCCACGAATTGATATCAGTAGAGCAAGCAGTTCTTCGCATCATGAGGATAGTAATTCCAGGGATTCGTCACCTGAACGAGAACTTCTCGCAGGTGATTACTTTTTGTAAATTACTGTGCGATATATCGCTCTATTTCCATTTCAAGTTTTTTTTTATACTTTTGCACAATCAACTTCTTTGCAGTTGCACTAATTGTACGTGAACTTTGGCAATGCGATATTTATATAACTTTGAGTGAAATAAATTTGATAAGTTTGCAACTGATTTTAATTGATTTTGATAAACGAATCGGCGAGCATTATTTGTAGTAATTGTGCGGTATATTAAAATTTATCGAACAAATATTTTTCAAGAATATATTTGGACTTTAGGATCATGTGAATAATGTGGAATAATGTAACGATATCCATACTATAAAAAATTCACGTATGGAATTGAAATTGATAGTATTAAAAATTGAATTGATGCGTATATTTTGGATGCAAATATTTGCGATAAACATAGATTTCAAAATTAACAATGAATTAGCTAATCTGCAGCATGAGTATTTAATAATAGAACATAAGAGTTAAGCGATACAGTATACGATACAGAGATTTATTTAAGAAAGATAATTTTTGAGATCTTTTAAAGCACAAAAATCGAACATTTTTCACAAGTAATTGGGTTATTCATATTTCTGAGAATATTTCAGAACAACATTCGCATTTTTCATTTCTTTGACACTTGAGTAGAGCATTCTGTACATATACACACTACCGCGATGATTTTCATCAGTGTCGTTGCGCAGCTTTTTTTGTTATAAAGAAAAGCTACAGAAAAGTACAGAATACTACTCCTGGGTTGAATGATACTCGCACACTTTGTAAGGAAACGAGAGCGAGAGGACGCGACGTAGACTCCTGTCAAATTGTCCGAATGTTAGAGACAGTCATCTGTCATGCGGATAAAGGGAGAAACTTTTCGTAACTTTTAAACGTCCGATCTAATTTATTTTAGACTTCAAAAGTTATTAGAGACTTTTCCAGGATATGCATGCGTCGTTCAAAAACGAAAAAGTCTAAATATAGAAATCTTTCGTGAATTTTTAGGTGCTGATCCTCCGTCCGGTTGTAAGCTGACCCTGGGCTACAAGGAGGACGCTCAAGATCTCAGATCTTCTACAGAGGAGCTGGATCTACAGGATCCCGTCCACGAACAGGATCTCAGACGGGAGTCTAAAAGGCGAAAGCGAAAGGAGACCGATGGATCCCAATCGGATTACAGTGGCAAGCAGCTGCAGGGTCAGGATCGTGAACGCAAAGACAGTAACTGCTCGGAGATATGCTTGCTCAACATCAGCGGTAGAACGTCTAGACTATCATCGGTTGGTAGCCAAGGCTCCGGCGTCTCCGGGAAGCTGTCAGTCATGTCGGCGACTTCCTCCAGGTATAAGGAATGCAAAATAATGAAGATGAGAATATGTTATAACACTTGCTGGCAAAATTTCGTTCTTTTGACTACGAACACAAAAAAAGCAGATTTTCTGCTTTCCGCCGATCGGTGCATTTTTAGAGGATACAGTAAACGTGTGTTAGAGTAGGAAATTAACCAGTTTCTGAGTTAATGTCTTACAATATAACGACCTCCGTTCATCCAATGAAAATATTTTTTTTATTGGATAAAATATTATACCAAAAAAATAAAAAGAAAATTCGTCAAATTTATCAAATAAGTAAAAGTAAGTAGAAAGAATAATTATTACATATATTCCTGACACCGATCGGCACTAGTTGTTGGAAAGTATAGAAAATCTACTTCCTTTAGAGAGTTATCGTATCTTTTTTGGAAATTTTGTTTGAAGAATTTGTTGTCGCTTGCATGCTTTAAAACTTTTTTATCGATTTCCTTTTTATTTTTGCCTTATAATTGATGTCTCTTGCGACATCGGTATGCATTACATATTGCAGCTTAAAAAATAAAACTATCGTTGTTAGATATTTATTTAATACTTATCCAAAGTTTAATTTCCGAATTATTAGCTTTTCAAAGATCCTAATGATCTTAATGAAGATATCAATGAAAAATGAGAAAGGCTTTACTACGGAAAGTTCCATAACGAGAAAAACTTGAAACGTACGATCGAGTTGTTGATGAAAGATGCGTGTGTGTATTTCCTTTAGATCTCCCAGTCCTCACAAATGTCTACTGGAGACATCGTTCTGCGGAAACAAGCCAACGCTGGTTGACAATCTGATAGAGCCGTCGAAACCGGAGACCGATGATCTCGAGAAGATACTCTTGAAGCGAGAGGCCGATACTACGAAGGCGTTGATTCCCGAGAGTATTAAGGTGCCTATAGTAGGTGGCAACCTGAAGCCAGATCCGTTGGACAAGCCCAGAAGACGCGGTCGTGAGGAGCGGAAGGAAATCTTTAAACGAGAAGTGGAAATCACCAAAAGATTTCTGGAGAAAGTTAATATAGAGGTTGGTTCTTTGCCTGTTAAGCAGTAGCTTAAAATAGTTTTTCATTTTCCTGAATTATACCTCAATACTTATTTCTATCGAGAAACATCGAGGCGATATCGCGTCTTGAGTCTTCCCTCGTGAAAATTTTTTTATAAAATTATGTTATATATATATATATATATATATATATATAGTATATTAATTGGAACTTATTAGAATTTTATTTAATTGAATTTTATCGGAAAATTTTATCAATATTGTTAGAATAGGATACAGGCACGTAATAGCGTATAAGTGCAGTCACCAAATCTTTTTTTTCTTTTCTATATCATTAATATTAATAATTGAAATACACTGTTCAAAAAATCAGAGAATTACTTTTTTCAATAAATTATTTTTGCCCATTTTTAAACTGTAAATATTTATTGAATAATTAACGTAAAAAATAAAAAAATAAAAAATAAACATACGTATGTACTAATATATGATGTGTTGCCTTCTCGCCGCCGCGTATTATCTCGTTCAACCTTAATCTCATATTGATGCATTTTTTAACTTCAGATTGAGAAATTTCGTCCCAAATTTGACGCAGTGCCTCTTCTAAGAAGCATATGACACCTATGGCAGACACATATACACATGTAGACTCCATATACACATACAGTATATGTGCCTATATACACATTCACATACACATACACATATACATACACACATGATCAAGCAAAATCCGACCAAGCAACATCCCCGTGATGCACATCGGATTATGCAAATGCCGGCGGTATTGTGCTGAAATTATAAAAAAACAGAAGTTACTTTAAATTGCGATATCTCGCTAAATAATCGGCATAGGATAAAGTACTTTTTTTTTATTTGAAAGGGCAAAGTCCATACTTTAGGACGATATCAATATTAGGTATGTCAATTTTTTTGTTAGGCGATGGAAGATTGCAAATTTCAAGATTTTACTTAAGATATATCAAATGTCCTTATATTCAAAGCTGATTACGCCTTTAAGTTTTAAACTAAGGAAAAATTGAATATAAACACCTTTTGTAGAAAATTTACCCTATAAATCCTTTTTTATTTTATTTTTTATGTTAATTATTCTGAATAATTTGCTAAGTAATTAAGGTTTAAAAGTGGGCAAAAATTTACTAAAAAATGTGACACTCTAATTTTTTTTAACAGTGTATAAAACAATGTCTTTTAAATGTACGTATAACATGCTAAATTTAAATATCGTCAAAATTAAATTAAGATATTAAAATTCTTGAATAAAATCGATACAAATGAATGTTAACATTAATTACTTTCGGATGTGACTAAAGGATAAATATATATTGTACCTTTTCTCGTACTGTGTGTATATGTATGCGGGGACAGGTACCGATCATCAAAAAATCGAGCGAACAACAAGGATCGATACTAGAACAACAGCATTTACAACAACAACAACAACAACAACAACAACAACAACAACAACAGCAATATCAATCAACAAAGATTCAAATCCAGGAAGTTCAGAAACCCGCAACACTCGATTTCAATGACAAAAGAAAGAAATCTCAAAACTTTAAGGAGATTGTACAGACGACGCCTACAACGAGTAGCCTCACCGGAAGTCCTAAATTGCCGAGACATCAAAAAATCCGTGATCTGGAAGGCTCACGAACGCCCAGTCCGTCGTCCGTGTCCAGAAAAAGTAGTTTTGCTTCATTGTTCAAGGTATACATATACATAATATCTTACGGAGAATTTCGCAGTTTATTAGTAATTAAAAAAGAAAAGAGAAATATTTTGTATTTGTTGAAATTTCAAAAATAAAACACAAAATGTATTAAATGAATTTGAAATAAATAAATCACATAAATTTTGAGAGAGAGAGAGAGAGAGAGAGTGTGTGTGTGTGTGTGTGTGTGTGTGTGTGTGTGTGTGCGCGAAATAATTACCATAATTATCTTTAATACATATGGTATTTTTATTCAGAAAACGTTTTATCGTCATTTTAAAACATTTTAGAATCTTTTACTTAAAACAGAATTTGACAAAAAAGAAACAGTAATGTATTTACCTAACATCTATCGCTTCTATCAAATTATTGAATATCATATCTTTGACCATTGTATTTGTAATTAAATAGACTAGAACCGACGGTAACGTTTTGAGTCCGGAGTCACCATCAACAAGTACAAAACCACGACGAAGTCTGACGTCGAAATTGAAGGACACTACGGAGAGTTTGAGAAGTCGTTCAAAGTCACGTGAGAGAGTCTCCATCGATAAGAGTTCAATCTTGAAAAAGGACTCGAAGAATAAAGGAATGTTTTCATCTACGCTGAGCTTGTTCAAGAAACGAGAGAGGAAGAAGAGTTACGATGAGGCAATCGCGGCCTCGTGCGACCTCGAAGTCGCTAGTGGGGACGAACATCCGTCTCTAGAGAGCATCGGTCATGTGGAGTTTACATTCAATATGGAAAAGGAAAAAAATCGTCAGGACGATTCGATCTTCATTAGTTTGCATGCCGATGACAGAAATTATGAGGAAGCCTTACCGTCGGAGAGCGTTTCGATACCGTTGGAAACGCCGACTAAACTACTAGATGAATATGAGTCTGAGGGGCCGCATACGGGTAGCATTATCACAGAGGTGTCGATCGAGCATCATCCAACGCTGCCGTCATCGATCGCTAAGATTAGGACCGAGGCGCAGATCGAAACGGTTACAGTTACGGCAGCGCAGACCGCATCCAGAAGTTCGTCCAGAGATACCCGGCTTCCACAGAGCGCCTCAAAAGACTTGCACATACTGAATAGTTCCAAGATTAGTGCGCAAGCTATCAAAACAATCGAAACGCCACCACCAGCCAAGTCATCGATTATAGCTAAACCAGATATTAAACTAGAAATCAAATCGGAAATTAAGTCGACAGATTTGCAAATATCCAGCGGTTTGTTGAGAGAATCGACTGGCAAAAAGTCGGACGTAACGAAGCCGAAGAGAAAAAGCAAAGAGAATCAACAGCAACAGCAGCCAGAATTATCCGAGAGAATAAACGTCGATGTAATGATGCAGCAGAAAAGGAGCTCAGCAGAATCTTCTCGAGTTGCTAAAGAAACTAAAAAACTCGATGACAAGATCGGTAAATCTCTAGACCAGGAAGATCTAGTAAAAACGCCCAGTGTAATATCTGATCTGGATCACAACAGTTCCGAATCCGAGAGAGATTCGGAAATTGAGTTTATTCGTAATAAGGTCGAGAAATTGACCGAGGAGTTGCCGGATGAGCGAAAAGGTCTCTTCTACGAAGAGAGTTTTGAGGAGGATCTTCCATATGTACCGACAACTTTGCCATTAGAAAAGAGCGTCGCTGTACCTATTCTGCCAGTTAAACAACGACTTCAGGAAGTAAGGTAATAATTTTAAATAAAAATTTGAAAATTTCAACACACGAACGATATACAGAGGGTCTAACATTAGGTGTAATACCATTCATGGGCAAGTGGAACGGAATAACTAAATTGAATAGAAAGGTTTTATATCATTTTGTGATTTCGCAATAGTTAACGAGATATTAATTTATAAAGGTCCACTAATTAGTATGCGTTTGCACACATTCGGCGACAAGAGATAGCCCAGCACAATTTACAATTTCTAGACGAACGTCCGCGTAGTAATGGGATGGCCTCTCTCTCTATAAAAAAAAAATCATGATTATTCACGAGTGCAGGTATTTTTGTTTACAAAGAGTGCTTCCAATGTATTGTCAAACGCGCCTATAAGAGGAGGCTGGAGTCGTTTGTAATACCGGTAATTGTACTTTTCGTTCTTTTTTGTTATCCTTGTGCAGAATGAAAAATTCTCCACAGAAGAAAATACGCAAAAAAATGTGGATAGATACAAAATCGTATGAAAAATAAAAAAGTTTTGCAATTACAGTTTCCTGTTATTACCCAGGTTATTTCTTTATGCGATATAAATGATTCAAAGTATATAATCAAAATATAAGTATCTATCCACATTTGTACAATACATATAAAGAATATTTTAAGATCTTGAGTTTATGATTTTGAAGCTTACAAAAGAAATAAATGGAGATCAAGTACGATTTGAATACGAGTGTGCATGTACATTGATGTAGTAGTAGTAAACATCTCAACACATCACTAAACACTATTATATTAATATCGCATGCATGCATATGCACAAATCATCGTAAAACAGTGACATCATGGATTTCGTCCATCCTTCCAGTATACTGCATCCTCTTAACAATCGTAAACGTTAGGCTACCTTTTGTCATCGAATCTTGTGGACGCACGTTGATTTGTAAATTTTTATAAATTAATTTAATATCTCATTAAGTATTGCAAAATAATACAGGACTTCAATTCAGTCCGTTTTAATTTACCCATAAGCGGTGTTACACCTATATAATCAGACACTCTGTATATTGATACTAAAAAAATTATAATATAAAGTAAATTCGATCTATAAGTGTTTTAATTACTTAATAATTTAATATTTATATTAAATTATTAAGTAATTAAAACTAGATCGAATTTACTTTATATTATAATTTTTTTAGTATCAATAATAATTTAATATTAATATTAAATTATACATAGAGAAGAAATTTCATAACTTTTAATTTATATTAATTACTTCGAGATTCACATATCGTGTTGATTGTTCAGGACGATTCCAATCGAGAGACCGCGTTCAACGACGCCAATAAATCCGACCCTGCTGGACGAGTTTGTAATGCAGACATCATTGGACGAGCGGCGTGTGGAGCGGATGAAAATATCTCTCCCGCGAGAAGATAGCTTTAAGCTGAAGAGCCCGCGGCGGCAATATACCAGTACAGCGAATACGTTCACCGAATTTGCGGGCAAAGTGCCACCGGATGGTGGCCGCAAAGGCGCTACCAATCAAGGAAAATCACCTAGTCCACCTCCACTGCCACCGAGAGCATCAGCAGCGGCAGCAACAACGGCAGCGGCAGCGGCAGCGGCGGCAGCAGCAGCAGCAGCAGCAGCAGCAGCAGCAGTAACAGCAACAGCATCATCATCAGCATCAGCATCATCATCGTCAGCGACAGCAGTAGTGCGGCCGAGCAATTGGATCAACTTCGAAGAGATACCGGAGAAGCGAAAGGCACCGAAACGGATACAGACGATACCGCGGCCAGAGGACGAGATCGCAAAGACTATCAGCGGTGGTTACAACTACGTGCAACCGGAAGAGTGCAAGTGCGAGTGCCACGAGGAGTCTAGGCGAGCGTCCATGCGGGAGGCAGCGGCGGCGGCGGCGGCGGCGACGGTGGCAGCAACTGTCGCCGCCACTGCTACCAGCACCTGCAGTACCAGAACTTCCTCTTGCAGCAGCAATGGCGAGCGACCGTGCAATGGTGAAAATTGCACGGCGCCGACTACCGGCGGTGGTAGCTCGGTCGACCGCGCCAGTATCGTCAGGTAAACCCAATCGGCTACCGATTGTCAAAGCGAGCTAACCACGTGTCCAGCCTGGGACGATCCGCGAAGGCGCTAGTGACGAGTAGAAATTTGTTTCTGTACTTTCAGTGACAGTTCGCTGGAGTGCTCGCTGAGCCTCGACGATGGCCAGAGCACGCAGGTGCTTCTCGGCAACTCGGCGAAACCCTTCGCAATGGATCTCGACGTGCATTCCAACAGGTCGAGCATCATATCGCAAGAGGAAAACGACGAGAATCAGCACCAATAATAATAATTGTAATAATAATACTCGCATAGCGCACCTTCACGCCTTAGGATCTTTGGATTTTCCTTCTCTAAATGTATAGAAAGATGAATCCAAGTTCCTCTGCTACGAGTCAAAGGGCGATTCGATTCCGAAAGAGACGTGCGTCGCGTTTTCGTCGCATTTTCTTTCAGAAAAGTTTTCAGAAAGATTGAACGAATGATATTACAATGGCATTAGTTTTATACACTTTTCGGTAGGTCATAGCGGTTGCACGATAAAATTTCCGATAAAATTTTGAAAGCGTATCGCTCGCGTCTTCGAAATCGAATTTCGAGATGTCTTTTGTCTTTAGCGTCACGCAATTGTTTATCTGTACGACACTGTACGTTAATTGGACCATTTTCGCATAATCGCACCTCGTCAGATTTATACACTTTCGCATCTCGCGTTAATATCGTTGTAATATGTATACCATCGTATATCGCGGTTCTTTTCTTTTCTTTCTCGTAACTCTCCTTTAGCATTATTTTGAGTCGCGCTCAAATTACGACTATTACGACTTCTTAAAATTGAAAAGCGTATTTCTTTATATCATCTCAAATCTATCCTCGTAAGGGAAAGAGTGTTGCGTGTCACCTAATTCATTTGAAGAATAACCGCGGACGACATTTTATTTTACAAGTTTAAAAGTTTATCACACGTACGCACGTGTTTATACTTTATTAGAAGCAGATCTAGAGGCACCCTAGAGGATGGTGGCTCGCTGTTTTTACTAATCTCTACAAATTAGTCACTAGTTTTCTCTAATGAAAGAGAATCTTACCGTCACGAAATACTGACGAAATGCTCGGCGGGCATCGCTCGTATTTCGTTCTCTTCCTGAAACAAAGAAAGGTATAAAAAGTGGATAAATATATAGAAAAAGAGAGCTATCTCCAGTGACTTTAATCTTGACATATGTTGTCAAGGTCATGACCATAAGTGACCTTCAAAAGGTTTTAGTCATCGCTAGTCCTTTGTTAAAAAGTTATTAACAAAAAAGTTATAAAAAAATTAACAGTATAATTATTCACTTTAGGGGATGCACCTCCGATGACTTTGACCTTTATTATACATATATTGTCAAGGTCATGATTATGAGTGACTTTCAAGAGATTTTAGCCGGTGCTCGTTATTTGTTAAAAAATTTATTATCATAAAACCCATGCGGAATTGTACAAATTATAGACCTCGTTTCGCCTCGTAAGCAGGGATGGATGTGAGATGGACCTCGCTTCGCGTGGAAAGTCGAAAACTTATGGGGAACAGTACAATTGTAGACCTCATTTCGCCCCGTAATCAGGCATGGGTACATGGGTATGGAGTGGACCTTGTTCCGTGTGGAACAGTACAATTATGCGACTTTCCACGCAAAGTGAGATCCCTCTCATACCCACCCCCTGCTTATATGGGGCGAAATGAAATTTATAATTGGCAGGGGGGCAGTGGGGGGGGGGGGGCGTCTCTTTGCGAGAAAGTCAAACACCATGTGGAACATGATCATTCGATCAAGATCAATCAAAAATCATTTGAAACTGCTTGTATCAAGCAAGAAATTTACCATTTATATCATGACCGACGGCTAAAATCTTTTAAAGATCTCAGGATCATGACTTTGACAATATATATATATATATATATATGTCAAGGTCAAGGTCATCGGAGACTCCCTCTTTCTATACATTTATCAAAAAGTGTAGAATGCACACACACACACACACACACACACA